CATTCAATAGGACACTAGCTGTGGATTTTCTTAAATTGCCTTGACTATGTTGAGGAATGTTCCTTCTAGACCCAATTTGCTTAGAGTTTTCATCATGAAAGGATGATGTATTTTATCAAATGCTTCCTCTGCATCTTTTGAGATGATATGGTTTTTGTTCAGCAGTTTTTTAATGTGATGTATCACATTGATATGTGAATGTTGAACCATCGGTGCATACTAGGATAAATCCCACCTGGTCCAGGTAAATGATCTTTCTGATGTGTTGTTGGATTTGATTGGCGAGAATTTTGTTGAGGATTTTTGAGTCTATGTTCATCAGGTAAATTGGTCTTTAGTTCTCTTTCTCTGTTGCATCTTTTTCTGATTTAGAGATTAAGGTGATGCTAGTTTCATAGAAGAAATTTGGGAAGAATCTTTTGAATAGCTTGAGAAGAATTGGAGGCTGAAGGCCATTTGAGTGGCTGACCAGAGCTAGTGGGGTATGAATCAGTAATGGATGTGGCTGTGGGCAGTTCCTCAGGGCAGGATGATAGGGCAGCAGTTTGGCTATCAGTAGCAGGTGCGTCCGCTAACAAGGCGGGCTCTCGGTCTTGTTCAGCTGGTTCTGGTTGACTGTCAGTTGCAGGCTTGATGTTGCTGGCTGGTACCCAAATGGGCTCTCCTGCTTTCTCTGGAAAGACACAAGCATATCTTCAGCCCTTGGTAAGCAGAAGCCTTTTTATGGGCACTGGAATCCAGGGCCTGAATTCTGTGTCCACTCCGAGATTAACGGCAAGCATGCAGGTGAGAGGGGGACTAGCGGCTGCCCTGAGAGCCTGGGGTGCCTGGGGACTGATACAAACATGGCGACCCTCAAGGGGGGGATGGGATGACCTCACAAGGGTTATTGCCTCGAGGTCGTCTAAGTTCATCCCACAGATATTTGGGGAGTGGCTGATTAGGCATTGCTGCGTTTTCTGCTGTCATGTCATGTTCACTGTCGGAGATCTCTCTGCCCAAGTCATCAACTGTTGCCTGTGAGGCAGCGGCCTGGAGTGACAGGCTCTTATCACCCACAGATTCATTATGTTTGGTAACCTGTGTGGGCTTCTGAGAGGTGGGTATCTCCTCTTTGCTCCCTTAGCCTGGACCTACCCAGTCTCTGGTGGACTCCTGGTCTTCTCTGTGGAACTTCTCAGGACTCCGTCGCCAGATTGTATCCCCTTTGCTTATTAACTCGCCTTCTCCTTTTCTAAGCCCTGCATCTCTGCTGTAAGTCCCTCTGAAACTGCTAGTGGGTGTTTTGCTTTTAGCCCACAGAGGACTCCATGCAGGAATCTGTGCCACAATATCAGCCCCATCGTGTTTTTTTAAAATTGTTTTAATTTTTCAAATGCTACCTCAAAATAATACTTATTTTATTAGTTTTATGGCGTCTCCTTAAATTTAGTGCTCCAGGTTTCACTCATCCCAGTCAACTCCTTGCCTTGAGCCAAGGTCAAGTGGTTAAATCTGATTTCCAGTTATGGTCAGCAAAGGGTGGTGGAGCAAGGGCTTGCTGTCAGGGTCTGAGGATCCTCCATTTAGTGGAGTCCGAAATGAGGGAGTCCAGACTACAGGCATGAGTAGGGAAAATTATTCACAGTGACAATGACCCAGGATGGAGATCAGGCTGGGAAGGGAGGGAATGGCTTTCTTGTTATTGTTGTTTATTTCTAAGGATTTATTTATTTAAAAGGCAAAGTGATAGAGCAAGGGAGAGACAAAGACAGAACGAGAGAGTGAGAGAGAAAGAGATCTCCCACTTACTGTTTTACTACTTAGATGGTTGCAATGGCCAGTGCTGGGCCAGGATGGAGCCAGGAATTTTATCCAGGTCTTCCACATGGGTGGCAGGATCCAAAGTACTTGGGCCATCACCTGCTGCTTTCTCAGGCACATTATCAGAGAGCTGATTTAGAAGCAAAGTGGCCAAGACAAACTGATGTTCCCATCACCACAAACGGTGGCTTAATCCACTGTGCCACAATGCCAGTCCCAGAAAAGGTTGTTAGAAAGGGTTGCAGTTGAGAGCCTGGCCTTTGTCATGAAGGTGGGCACAAGTAGACACCAGTAAGTGAATCATCCGAGCCCTTCTCTCAGTCCTGACTGCTCCTCTCAGCCTGTCTGAAGCACCAGATCTGGCTCCTTAAAGGAACAGAGGTCTACTGCCAGCCCTGGTGGCCGATGCAGACTTGCTGCCTGAGAGCCGGCACCAAGCTGCCCACAGAGCCTAAGGGGTCCAGAACCAGCCTTGTCAGGGAGCAGAGTGAGTGGGTTTGAATGAGCACCACGTCCAGACAGACAGTGATGAAGCCTCAGATATATGCCAGGCACAGGACTCTGCAGCCTGCCTGGGCAGGATGTGAATTCACACAGGCGAGCCTGTCTTCCCTCCTCTGTGGGGGAGAGCAGTGCCGAGCTGTGGAAACGCTGTGTGACCTGGGAGTTCCAGGATCCTGACCACAAACTGTTATGCACGCAGCTCCCAGTGAACTCCACGGAGCCCCAGGTTCTCTGTCTGCAGAAGGAAACAGCGATTCTTCCCTCCCAAGTGATGTTGAGGAAATGAGATGCTGTCCCTGCACTACCTGCCCAGGAGCTTTGACCTTGTCTTTGCTCAATGGATTTGATTCTGCCATCTGCTCCCTCTCCCTTCTCTTTGGGAGTGGAAGAACCTCCGTGATACCATCTGTGAATTTGCAAAGAGAAGTCTTCCTGTCTCAGGACATACCCGATGTTCATGGGATGGCTGTGTTAAGTAGGATCCTCAGTTCTCTGTAGTCTAACCTCATGCAATCATCCTGGCACCCTCTGAGGAGCTCTGACCATCATCTCTGGGTGCAGACACAGACACTGAGACTTTAATGGAATAACTGATTTGCCCGTATCCCATAGGCAGTGAGTAATGAAGGCAGATTCAAAACCACATGGTTTGATCCCAAAGCTCCCGCCCTTGCTGACACAACCTTCTTTTCTATGTTGACATTTCAGCCCCCATTTCTAACTGTAAGGGAAAAATAGGGTGAAGAAAATAGTTTTGTGTTTTTTTGTGCTTAAATATTGTTATTGGCATAGTATCACATTGATAAACTGCTTTCTATTTGGCATTTAGAGTGGAAGAATGGGTGTTCTGTGCAGTAAATGAAAATAAACCTCTATGGACTGAGTTGTCCCTTTTGAGTTCCCTTGTTGAAGCGTTCACCTCTTTCCCTTTCCTGGCCTCATAAAGACACAGCAAGATGTCTCTAGGTCAGGTTGAATCAGAGGAGCACCTGATCCTGGACTTTGAGCCTCCTAAACTGTAAGACAAAATTGTTTTGCTTACACATTTCCCTGCCTCAGGAGCCTTGCTACAGGAATAGATGGATCAAAACACGTACCTGTGGGCCCAGCCTTGTAGCACAGCAGGTTAAGTTGCTGCTTGTGGTGCCAGCATCCCATATGAGTAGTGATTCGAGTCCCCGCTGCTGTCCTTCCAATTCAGCTCCCTGCTAATTGCTTGGGAATGCAGTGAATGGTGACCCAAGTGTTTGGGCCCCTGCCACTCTTGCAGGAGACTAGAATGGAGCTCCTGGCTCCTGGCTCCGTTCTGGTCCAGTCCTGGCTTCTGTAGCCCTTGGCAGAAAGAATCAGGGAATGGAAGATCTCTCTCAATGTTTCTCCTTCACTCTCTGTCATAGCCTTTCAAGTAAATAAATAAACAATTCTTTAAAGAAAAAAAGACACTTATTTGTTATGATGTTACTACAAGCTCTTGTCCCTGTCCTCAGTGCCCAATCAAAGCAACTGGCACAAGGTTTGAGGGAAAGGAGAGAGAAATCTGTCAGCAGATGAGGACAACAGCAGATAATCTCAAGAACTACTGTCCACCTTAGGATGGTCCAGGCTTTTTAAAGAGATCATAAAGGAAGTTGTATTGCTGAGTCAGGTGCTGGTTGCAGGTCAGTTAACGGGGGTTCCTTGGGTGTTAGCGCAGTTTCCTGGAAACTTGCTTGATGATTTTATCATGAGGAGGGAATCGCAGGTTTTACCCAGCTACACAATGGTACTTGGTTGGGATCTGAAAGAGTCAAAATGTTGTGTCTCAACAGATTCCCAGTGTTTCATTCATCAGGATGAAACCCACTTAGCCTGGAGCCCGCACCTACTGTGCTCTTGTTCATTTGTTTCCCTTTCTACAGTAAATTCAGATTTCTAATCACGCTGGCTTGGGAGGGTCAGATGACGTTACTACTTCAACTGGTTTTCTCAAGGCCGGTTTCTGGAATTCACAAGCAAGCATTATTTTTAAGAGATTTATTTGTGTATTTGAAAGGCAGAGTTATAGGGAGAGAGGAGAGACAGAGATCTTCCCTCCACTGGTTCACTCCTGAAATAGTCACAACAACTGGGGCTGAGCCAGGCGGAAACCAGGAGCCAGGAGCTTCTTGCAGGTTTCCCATGTGGGTGCAGGGGCCCAAGGACTTGGGCCATCTTCTATTGCTTTCCCAGGCCATGGCAGAGAGCTGGATCGGAAGTGGAGCAGCCAGGACATGAATTGGTGCCCATATGGGGTGCTGGTGCTCAGGCCGTGGTTTAACCCACTACACCACAGCACCAGCCCCAAGCAAGCATTATTTATGTTTGGACACTCTAATTAGTCACAGACTCAGTAGTCATCAGAATATGAAAAAGATATTTTTGGTCAAGTTACAATACTTATGGTATATAATCTTAACAATATACATGATTATATAGTTGTACTATAATGTGGCACAGTTATATTGTACTATAGTTTTGGGAGATACTGCCATTTGGAAAACTAAAGGATGGATTGAATCTATATTATTTCATATAACTACATATGGACCAACAGTTACCTCAGATCAATTCTGAAGAACAGAAAGGTGGGGGCCAAAGTCAGGGAAGCCAGTATGTCAGTTTGGGTTTGTCAGTTATGGCATGAGCCTTGGAATCTTGACGTCATAAAGGTGAGTGGTCCCCCGAGTGTGTAATTTTTGGTCCTCGTGGATTAGTCCACAGCACTCTGGCACCTGCTGCAGACAGGACAGCTTTTCTGCACCAAGAATGGAAGAGGAAGGGATGTTTTCATCAGCCGAAGAGAGCTCCCAGCCTAGTGGAGGCCACCCGGAGGTTCATGGTACCAGGTAGTCCTTTCTTGTGCCCAGCAGACTGAGTACCAGGGGTATCCTGTCCTCTTCCCCCTAAATATAGAGACTAACTGATAACTTGAGCACTGGTTCCGGGAAGAGCTGCTCGCGTTCCCCGGGTTTACTGTTGCGGAGCTCAGACGAGGCCCTTGCACCCTCAGTGGGGACACTTGCTCAGCTGCGTGGGAAGCAGTTTTCTGTAGGTCTCTGAAAAGGGCTGCCCTACTTAGGAAATAGTTTCCATTTCTTTCATTCTAATTTGATTTACCACTTCTTTTTTTTCTTTTTAAAGATTTATTTATTTGAAAGGCAGAGCTACAGAGAGGTAGAAGGAGAGAGAGAGAGAGAGAGGGAGGGAGGGAGAGGTTTTCCACCCACTGGTTCACTCTCCAGGTGGCTACAACAGTCAATCTGGAGCCAGGAGATTCTGGGTCTCCCACGCAGGTGCAGGGATCCAAGGACTTGGGCCATCTTCTACTGCTTTCTCAGGCCATAGCAGAGAGCTGATCAGAAGTGGAGTAGCCAGGACTTGAACTGATGCCTATACGGGATGCTGGCACTGCATAAAGTGGTGACTTTACCTGCTACGCCACAGTGCCAGCCCCAATTCTTTTTTTAAAAAAGATTAATTTATTTGAAAGGCAGAGTTACAGAGAGGTGAAGAGGGAGTGAGGGAAGGGGGAGAAGCAGAGGGAGAAGGGGAAAGAGGGAGGGGAGAGAGGGATGGAGGGAGAGCGAGGGAATTAAGTAGAGGGAGAGAATTAGGGTGAGAGGGGGAGGGAGAGAGAGGGAGAGGGAAGAAGGGAGGGAGATATCTTCCTTCTTCTGATTCACTCCCTGAATATCCCTAATAGCTGGAGCTGGGCTGATCAGGAGCCAGGAGCTTCTTTTGGGTCTTCCACATGGATGTTGGGGCCTAAGCACTTGGGCCATCTTTCACTTCTTTCCCAAGCCATAGCAGACAGTGGGATTGGAAGTGGAACAGCCAGGACTCAAACTGGGACACTGGTGCCATAGGCAGAGGCTTAACCCACTACACCACAGTGCTGGCCCCTCATTTTAGCACTTATGACCACAGAGTCCTGTTGGAACATGGTCAGAACTCTTCCAACTGATATCTAGGCATGGTCTGGTGTTTAGCAACTTTCGGGTGTTTCCAGTATCATTTCAGTGTGCTTTAGATTTTCCCCCCAAATGTGAATATTGATTTAGGTAAGATGAGATTCAATTTGCCAGACCCCTGCTTACAGACGTTATCATGTTAACACGAGACCAAGTTGTAATTATTTCTTTCCACATGTCCATGTCATTTTGTTTTACATATGGGGGCCACAAATTGCCTGTGTTTCCCTTTTTAAAATCATATTTTAGGCTGGCGCTGTGGTTCAATAGGCTAATCCTCCGCCTTGCGGCGCCAGCACACCGGGTTCTAGTCCCAGTCGGGGCGCCGGATTCTTTCCCCGGTTGCCCCTCTTCCAGGCCAGCTCTCTGCTGTGGCCCGGGAAGGCAGTGGAGGATGGCCCAAGTGCTTGGGCCCTGCACCCCATGGGAGACCAGGAGAAGCACCTGGCTCCTGCCATCAGATCAGCTCGGTGTGCCGGCCGCAGCGTGCCATCCGTGGCGGCCATTGGAGGGTGAACCAACGGCAAAAGGAAGACCTTTCTCTCTGTCTCTCTCTCTCACTATCCACTCTGCCTGTCAAAAAAAAAAAAAAACCTAAAATCATAATTTAAGTGTTTGGGGAGTTAAAAAACTCTCACATCCATCTAAACATTCCTTACAGACTGCAGCGTGGTGGCTGAAGTGGGATAAACGTTAGGTAATTGAGTGGAAATGCACTTCAGGAGGTAAATCACTGTAGCTTAGAGGATGAAGGTTGCACAGAGTTCGTGTACAGGCCTGTGGGTGAGAGGATTATTTGCTGTTCTCTGGGTCCTCTGCTTAGGGTCTGCTAGGCCTGGCCATGGTGATGGCAGGCTCTTTCCTTCTGGAGACCCTAGGGCAGGATACATTCCTGAGTTCATCCAGATCTGTGCTGAATTCAGTTCCTTGAGAGTACAGTACTGAAGATTCCCTTTCCCCACTGGCTGCCACCCCTGGGTTGATGTTGGCTCTGGGAGCTGGCTGTGTCCTGTCTCACGTTCACATGTGGCTCCTACCCAAATGAGAGGTTTAGTCTCTCTTACCCTTCAGCTCTCTTTGGTCCCCATTTTGTGCCATCTCCCTGACTCAATCCATGTGACATTTCTCCAATTTGGGGCTCCTGTGAGTAGCTTCAGCTCACAAGGTTAATCTCCCTGTAATATTGCTCACATTCTTACACCTGAACACCCTCTTTTGCCAAGTAGCACATTTATAGGTTCATTCCAAGTATTAGAGTATGAGGATCTTTGGGGTGGCCACCCTGCCTAGCACGGCCTCCTAACAACCCTCCTCCCTTCAATTCTCCAAACTCGCGTGTTCAGGGTTGCCCGTGACCTCCATGTTACACTAAGTCCAGTGGTCAGTCCTCAGAAAGTACCCAGCATTAGACGTGGTGGGTTGCTCCCTTTTTGTTACACTCTAGGCCTAGGGCCCTTCTTCCCCCTTCCCCATGGCCTCTGATCTGAGCTGCCTTGCTTCCCCCACCTCTAAGGGCCTGCCCTAGGGCACTGCCCTTGATTGTGGTCTCCATCCAGCTCCCTAAGTGCCCTCCTCTATAACCCCACTTGCATTGTAATTGTAGAGACCTGGTTGCGGAGTTGAGACTATGAATTTTTAAAAATTTTTGTTTGTTTATTTGAAAGAGAAGGAGAGACAGATCTTCCAACTACTGGTTCTCTCCTCAGTTGGCTACCATGGCTGAGCCTGGGCCAGGCTGGAGCTAGGAGCCTCTTCCAAGTCTCCTACACAGGCAGCAGGGGCTCAGTCACTTGGACCATGTTCTACTGCTTTTCTCACGTCAGTAGCATGGAGCTGCATTGGAAGTGGAGCAGCCTGGATACGAACCAGTGCTCACATAGGGTGCTGGCAGTGCAGGATGTGGATTTACTCCCCACACCACAAAACGTGCCCTGAGGCTCCAGTGTTAGCGTAGTGTCACCTCTGCAATTTGGCACAGAATTCTATCCTGTGTTTGGCCATTGACTGTCTGCTCTGGGTTGTTTGATATGCAGCGTGGACATCTGTTCTCCTGTGCCGGAGACTCAAGATGAGAAAGCCGTGTCACCCGCGGGTGCCGAGGATACCGTGCTGATACGTGGGCCCGTGACGCTCAAAAGAGGGTGGAGGAGGAAGAAGCACCAAGTCTTCTTGTACAGTAATGTGTTGCTTGTGTCTAATTCCAAGTATGTATACATGCTATGCTCTCCCGATTATCATAAAGTGTATGTTATCAGTGACAAACTGTGCTTTCACGAACTCTTTCTATACGCACGAAGGCTGTTTTTACTTTTGTTTTTGCAAATGTTTTGATTCTTGACTTATTCAAGAGTTATCGTGGAAGTCCTCTCGTGCACTGTGCTCCAGTACAGAGGCAGGCAGTAACGGGATAGGCAAGGTCACTTTTGCTTGGGGCTCATAGATGATAAAAATGAGACAAATGCAGAATGATATTTGTGCTTCTGAGAAGACAGTAGCTAGGGGGCCGTGCAGAGAAGAATAAGGCACAGCATCAGAGAGGAATCGTCCCGGCCAGCGTCCCTGAGATGACATTTTAAACTCCAGCCATGAGATGAGCAGCAGCCCCACTTCTAGACGCGGTGCCCCAGGCTTCCTGGCTGAGGGGACAGCAGGCCTGCGGCGGATGCAGCTGGCTTCTTGGCAGGAGGCTGATGCTACTGGAGCCCAGTGCAGTCCAGGTTGGTGTCACATATGAGACTGACAGGTGCTCAGGGGTCTGGTCACACAGGGCCTTACTCAGCCCTAGAAAGGAATATTGTTCTGAAAGGCTTTTTACCAGGGAAAGGGCCAAATCAGGGAAATAATCTTAGTGTATTGCTCTGGCTGGTGGGAGCCAGTGGGTTGGAGGGCAGATAACACTGAAGAAGGGAGACTTGGTAGGCGAGGTGATAGCCCCCTCACTAGCACCAAGGGCTCCCCCTTGAAAGTGGCGGTGAAAATGACAGGTGCAGCAGGCAGATTTGGGATGTACTTGTTGAGAGGAGGTGCTAGGTGCTCTTTCTCTCAGCTCTGAACAGCAGTGCAACCAGTACCCAGGGTGGAAAATGCTGACAGCCTAATACATGTCTGCAGGCAATGAGTAGGAAGGCCGGGACTGGTCTGACTGCTGCTTATCTGTTCCACCCGTGTTTTATGATTTATGTTATGAAAGACAACATTTCAATAAACAAAATCTCACCATACAGGTGAGATCTCACCAAAATCTCTCCAATACAGGTGCTACTACCTCTGTATGTCCTGTCTGTCCTTTTGGGTGTTCTAGTAGATTCCATGCCCATCTAGGTCGGTGTCACCACTGAGCTCACCCTCTCCTTTGGGTAAACAAGACTCCGGTCATGCACTGAGTATCTGATTAAAGGACAGAACATTCAGTAAACTCGGAGTGAATGACAAGTCCAGGAGTCAAAACCCATCAGAGACACAGATAAAGAGAATTCCATACGTGTTGGACAAGAGCAGGTGTGCAGGGAGGGAGCTGCAGATGTGAACTGTCTAGGCCTAACAGGTGTTGTGGCCCCACGATATTCTGCTTACAACAGTTCCTATGAAGGCAGTGCTCCATTTCTGCTAGAAACTTGCATCTCTTCAAGAACTGAATTTTTTTTAAAAAAAATATTTATTTTAAATGCAGAGTTAGAGGGAGGGAGTAAGGGAGGGAGAGAGGGAGAGAGAGATTGATTCCCATCCTCTGATGCAATGGATGGAAGCCAGGAACCGGGAGCTTTATCTAGATCTCCAACATGGGTGGCCTGAGCCCAAGTAGTTGGGCCATCTTCCATGGAGTTCCCAGGCACATCAGCAGGGATCTGGATTGGAAGTGGAACAGTACAGACTCGAATAGGTGCTCATCTTGGCTGCCAACATCAGTTATCACAGGTGGCACCTTACTCAAATGCACTACAGTGCTGACCCCAAGAACTGAATTTTTATTTTTATGGGACCATTATCACAAAAGCTGTGCAACGTTTGTTATCATGTACATACTTTTGAGACATGCACTCAGGACTGACAGACATCTTTATCGATGCATCTAACAATGTCCTTGCTTAAGGGACTCAGTTCTTAAGATTTTATTTACCTGAAAAGTGCAGTTATAAAGTGAGCAAAGGAGAGAGAGTGATGGATCCTCCACCTGCTGGTTCATTCCCCAGATGGAGCATTTTTTAAGTTGGATACAGTCTGTAGGCTCCAGTATTTCAGTATTAGCCAGAATATGGAAAAATGATCTGCACCAAATCTTAAGGAGAAAAGTTGAAATAATCTTGGATTTAGAGGGTATAAAGTCTTATAAACACCAAGATTCCTATCCCTCTAATCCAACTTATATAAATAAGTTCCATCTGTTTTTAAGAAAATTTTATAAATTATGTTATTTAAAATATTTGTTCAGCCTCTCAAACCCTTTTTGAAGCAAGAAAGATGTGGATAATACATGAGTGAGTGATTCTCTCAGAAAGTAGCCTCATTAAAATATAAAGTACAGTCCATGCCCCATAGTCAGCATTCAGAAAGAGAACAAACAGTCCTGTGTGTTCCAGGCCTCCCTGGGCCACCCTATGCTGAGCACACACTTTGTGAATACCCACCTGACCCTTCCCCTTGCTGTGCATTGAGGGGAATGGACATGAATGAGGGATGCGTGGCCCTGGAATAGGGAGAACTTGGGTCTTCTGAGAAGCTCAGCTGCTCCCATTGCATTTCAGATATAAGCTAATTGATCTTGCTTGATTCTCCTTCCTAGGTATAAGAAAACCATTGATGTTAAATATGAAATACCACTGAGCTCCCTGTGGATGGCTGACTGTGGAACGGAAACACAGGGGGCAGGCGATACCTGTGCCAAGAGATCCTTTCTCCTAGGCTGGCCCATGGTGAATTTTGTGGCCACTTTTGAGTAAGTACCACAACTCAGTTTCACATTTTACTTTGACGTGGAAGGACACAGTCAACTTTGTCTTGTCCAGGATAGATACAAAAAGGAAAGCATGTTAATCCGATCATGTAATAGTTTTGACCTCTGGTCATGACACTTGGTATGCCTTGAACTTTCCCCTGAGAAGCTTTTATGTGCAAATATATGAAGCAGTAGTCAAACCGTGGGAACTAGTGGAATGGCTTCATTTGTTTTCCACAGTGGCTTTTCAAAGGAGTTCTAGGAACCATCTGGAGAGTAGGTGTTCTGGGACCATGGAAGGAGGATTGAAGGGAGCAAGGCTCCAAAGCCCCTCTCCTGTGTCCTCCCTTTCAAAGTCCTGGTATTATCTATATTTTTCAACCACTACAAGTGGTCTTTCTTCATCAGATACAATTAAATTTGAAAAAACACTTTGCCCACTCCCAAATTAATTCCCTAAATAGTGTTTAATTATGAAAATAAATGCCAGTCATCAAATCCTGGGGTGCCTGGAATGCTGTGCAGCGGACTACTGCATCCTGTGTCTACAGAGAGGCCCCATCCAAAGAAAGTACTGATGCAGGGAGTGTGGGGTAGTTTTCTAACAGCCATTTCAGGGCTGGCGTGAGGAAGCGGCAAGGCGCTGCATGTCCTGGACAACCTGAGCCAGCACTGTTGGGTTCACAGGGATCACACAACTCGCACCTGCTGCTCTGATCAGGTACACACCCAGTCTCAAAGAGAGTTCATCACAGGCACTCGACACTCTTTCCTCTCCTCCTCACCCCACTCCACCAAAGACTCATGAATCATCCAAAAGTTGAGGCCATGAAAATACTTCCAAGTTGTTGACTTACTCAATTCTGTGATACAGCTGTTGACTCAAGGAAAATATTTCCAGAGGTTACTGGGAGGAAACACGTGCTTGTAGTATCTCTGCATAATACGCTTTTAAATTTTTCTAAAGGCTCTCAAGTGCTATTGCTGAATGTGTTCTCCACATTATAGGTGAAAAGAAAAGCTGACTTTGGGAAAATATGGACTTTTTGATGAGAATGTTCACCAGGCACTTTCTTTATAATGAGGGGGTTGTCGATACCATGTTTACACATGTTCTATTGATTATGAAGCTGTGTGAACATAGATAAGGTGTTTATAACCAGGCCTGGCACTTAGTGTATTTGCTTATAACTCCTCTGCAAGTTGGCGTGAGTAATTAGAAGTGGTGTCCATGTACATACGCACATTGAAGGTTACAGGAAGGTGCTCTCACCTGAGGAAACAGGACCCAAGAAGGTACAGAAGTAGAGTGGAGGAGCTGTGGCTGATAGAAACAGAAACTGTGGCAGCCCCTGTAGAAAAACGTGTTGCTTACGTGAATTAAAGATAAGATGACCATATGATTCAGCAGTCTCACTCCTGTGAATAGGCCCAAGGAAAGTAAATACAAATTACCCAGAACTTTGTGCATGAATGTTCCTTGAAACACTGTCCTTAATAGCCAGAAATGAGCTTCAACTCACATGTTCAACTGATGAACGGATATTCCTCATGTAGTGTGGAATCTGGGATAGTGGGAATGGGGTTGGGCTTTAATGAATACAGAGTTTACTTTGGGGATAATGAAAATAATCTGGAATAAGATAGTGCCGGTAGTTACCCAATGTTGTGCATGTGCTAAGCACACAAATGGTCAATTTTATATTAAAAGCAGTTTACCATCGCTTTTTGAAAATAAAGATTTATATATGTATTTGAAAATCGGAGTTACAGAAACAGAGGGAGAGACAGATATTTTCTATCCACTGGTTCACTCCCAAGATGGCCACAGTAGCCAGGGCTGGGCCAGGCTGAAGCCAGGAGCAGGTGCTTCTTCCGGGTCTCCCATGTGGGTGATGGGCCCAGACACTTGGACCACCTTCCACTGCTTTTCCCAGGCCATTAGCAAGGAGCTGGAAGTGGGACAGCCAGGACACAGACTCTTGCCCATATGAGATACTGGCATTGCAGGCGATGGCTTTACCAGCTATGTCATGGTGCCTGCCTCACCACTTGTTTTGAATGCTAATACACGATAAGTTTATGTATTCCTGAGCCTTAAAACCTTTTCAGTTTAGATAATAAGTGCTTCAGTGATATAACGGAATATTAATCATTAGTAAGTATGATTTTCATCAGATGATCATAGCGCAAAAAATGTCTTCTAGGATCTCACTTAGCACATTAGAGCTCTGCAATCTCTGAAGAAATACACTAGTATGGATTGTTTCCCTCTAAAATGATATTCTTATTTCTGGGCCGAGAGCATTACATCCAAATTCCACATTTCTTCAGTATGATTTAATTGGAATAATATGCTTTTTACACTTGAACGGCACTTCAGGCTTCAGGAGCTTTGAGGTTGAATCAACCCCTTTTCCAGTTTGGAGGCCGAGACTTACCCCAGATTGATGATTTTCCCGTGATCTCAGAGCTTGCATCACCTAGTCACAATCCAGTGTTCACATTCGAAATCAGCATCTCTCTCCGTGTGACCTGCTCCCTGTTACTGGGATGATGCAGTACAAGAGCAGAGTCCATCGAGAGCCCAGCTATGACGAGGGCACTAGCTACACCTGCGTCCCCATCAGCCCAACTGCCCGCTGGCATGTTAATCTGCAATGACTGTTAACATGGCAGAATCAGTGTTCATGTCATTAAATTTTTTTCCCTCTATTTCTCTAATTGCAGCTCGTCAGTGGTGAAAGAAAGATGGTACTCTTTCCTTCAAAGGTATCTGGCCAGTATACTTGCTTTAAATCTTTAGTTTGTGATGGAAAGATGCAAATATCTGCAAGCAGAGTCTTCAAGTTATTCTCCCTTGAGAAATCCATTGGTAGACTGTCCTCAGATAATTTCTGGTTTGGATTTCCTTTGCACATGCTGTCAATAATGCTCCCTCACTTATGTGCATGTTTTGTTTATTGTTGAAGTTCTGGAGGACCCTGTCATCTTTTTCTTCTCTCCAACCAGTGGATTGGAGCTAATATATTCTCAAAATGCATTAAATTTCCATAAGTGCATGTTGTTCTACAGAGTGAGTCTCAAAGGAACTGCTCCCTCCTACCACTCAGTCCAAGATGGTGCGTGGGCTCCAAGCCAGACAGCAATACTTTGAGGAGTGGTTCTGCTGCCCAAAGCACACATTACTGCATTGCCTGTTATTCTCTGGGCTCTGCCCTCTTTTCTGGACTTATTTTTGTATGTATTTTTTATTCATAGTTTGATATTGAGTTATCCTTTAACTATATATTTAAAATATCAAGTATATAGAAAAGTTTTGCAACATGATTAATTGAAAATGAGCTAACAGTTAATTCATCTGTTTGGGGTTATTACTGAATTGAATAGGTACATCAATCTAGCCAAGGAGGAGGACCACACACAAAGCATCCTCATCCAAGTCTTCACTGAGGATATCAAGAACTGTGCCTGTGTAAGTGTGTTTTAGCAGTCAAATTAAACTTCAGGTTCCTGACTTAGGAGTAGGAGAGGCAGAGAGAGATGTAGGGATAGATTTAAAGATAGAGTGAGTCATAGAAGAGGGGAGGATGAACAAAGGAAGGGAGGAGAAAAAGAAGAGAGGCCAAATTTCAAAAGACGTTATGGTAAAAACATGTTTGCATATATAGTTTTTTTAAAAAAAGATTTATTTATTTGAAAGGCAGAGTTACAGAGAGACAGAGATAGAGACAGAATGAGAGAGAGAGGTCTTCCTTCCGCTGGTTCACTCCCCTAATGGCTGTGATGGCTAGAGCTATGCCATTCTGAAGCTAGGAGCCAGGAACTTCTTCCAAGTCTCCTACATGGGTGCAGGGGCCCTAGGACTTGGGCCAGCTTCTACTGCTTTCCCAGGCCGCAGCAGAGAGCTGGATTGAAAATGGAGCAGCTGGGACTTGAATCAGCACCCATGTGGGATGTCTGCAGACTGGGGCTTTAACCCGCTGCACCACAGTGCCTGCCCCTGCACATATAGTTTTATGCCTTTGTATATATAGAAAGTAGTTATAAGGCTATATGAAACAGTAGAGATCCATGGTATTTCAATGGGTATGCTTAGATATATTCATTTTACTAAATATACATGAACTTTAGTGTTTTACTTTAATAATTTATACAAGCTGATATTTCTTTTTGCTTTAAAATATTCCCCTCAATTGTCACTACTTTCAAACAGTGGCTTTGCTTATTTCTAGTTTTCAGATTATATTTTTTTATTTACTAAAGATTTATTTATTTATTTGAAAGTCAGAGTTACACAGAGGAACACAGAGAGATGGTCTTCTGTCCACTGGTTCACTCCCAAATGGTTGCAATGGCCCAGGGTTGGGCCAGGCCAAAGCCAGGAGCCAGCAGCTTCTTCTGGGTCTCCCCTGTGGGTGCAGGGGCCCAAGGACTTGGGTCATCCTTTGCTGCTTTCCCAGGCACATACGTTAGCAGGGAGCTTGATTGGAAGTGGAGCAGCTGGGACTTGAACTGGTGTCCAAATGTGATGCCAGCGTTGCAGGTGGTGGATTTAGCTGCTATGTTGCAATGCTGGCTGTGGATGATATTTTTTGTATTTTAAAAGATTTTTATTTATTTGGAAGGAATGTCAACACACAGAATAGTACAAAAGCATGCTAGGAATATCACTTAGCATACACGTTTTACCCAGATATGTCTACTTGGTACTGTTTTGTACTATTTGCCCTATCATTTATTTTCTCTGCTTCTTTGTTATGTGAATGTGTCTACCAATTTTTGAATGCCAGTTATATATACTATGGCCCTTTATTTTTCAAGACCTATGTGTTTCTTAGGAGTCAAGATATACTCTTACATAATCACCTTATCTGTAAATTGAACTTTGATATAATGCAATAACCTATTACTCATTTCCAGGATGCACTCTAGGGTCAGGTATTACATTGAGCTGTTAGATCAAATATAATGGATTTTGGAAAAGATTTCCATTCTATAAAACATCAGGACTGAATTGAGCTGGGAGGGCTGACCCTTTAACAGGATGGCATGTGTCTACCTCTTTTTCCCTGGTGTGGGGAAAAATAGCTTCAATTGAGTAAAATTTAATTTCCGAACATAGTGTTACAAACAATGTTCACAGTGATGACCAAAATATCCCAGGTACTGTGTTACTGTATTCTTTACACCTGTTCTACATCACACAAAATAGTATTTTACATGGAAATAAGAGCAGTGCAAAGAAATGATTCCCTAGTAAATATCCAAAGCCAGGAAATGTTATGATCTGTTTCTAATTAACAGAAGGAGATGAGAATGTAATTTTCCCCCTAACATTCTTTTATTTCATCTTACAGAAATGTAACTTAAAATTTTGTGTACTAAAGGTCTGGTGCCAACAAAGTTTCTCATTTCATTTTATTTGAAAATGTTGATATGTATTTTTTAAGATTTTTTTGAGAGGTAGAGCTACAAAGAGAGGGAGAGATAGAGAAGTCTTCCATACCCTAGTTCACTTTCCAAATAGCCACAACGCTGGAGCTGCGCTGATCCGAAGCCAGGAGCCAGGAGCTCCTTCCAGGTCTCCCACCCAGATGCAGGGGCCCAAGCACCAGGCTCATCTTTTACTGCTTTCCCGGTCTGTGTCAGAGAGTTGGGTCAGAAGAGGAGCAGCTTGGAAATGAACTGGTGCCCACATGGGATGCTGGTGCAGCAGGTGGCAGTTTAACCTGCTACGCCACAGCTCCATTCCAAAATGTCTGTATTTCAGGTTCACTCTTAATGTATTTTTGTTAAACAGAAAAAAAAGTTAATATTTTTTCAGCATCTTGAAAACATTTCATTGTCTTTTGATTTCCATGTTTTCTAATGAATAGTGTGTGATCATTATACTTTGATCATTTGCTTGTAATATTTCTTTCACTGTTTTTAAAGATTTTGATTAGATTTCAGAAGATTGACTATATGTCAAAGCCTGATTTTTTTTTTATATTTTCTGAACTTCCTGAATTTAATTTTTGTCCTCACTGTGTTTGGAAAATTTCCACCATTGTTATTTCAAGGTGTTTTTTTTACTTTCCTATTTTCTGTTATCTTTCATTCTGGAATTCCTGTTACATGGATATTAAACCTTTTGAGGTTGTCTGTAGGTGTCTTGAACTCTAACTCCTTCCACTCGTTTTCCTCTTTCTTCTTCAGACTGGACACCTCTGTGGATCCATTGTCATATTCATTGACTCCAATTTGCTGTCTCACTTATTTTTTCAGCCCATCCACTACATTTTCTCCTTCGGATATTTTTTCATGTCTAAGATTTCTATTTAAAATGTTTTCTATTTCTGTTTTGACACTGACTATACTTGTTTTTAATTATTGGCATATCTTTTATATCGTGGAGCATAATAATCATAGCTACAATTTTCCCATAGTTTTTGAACATCTAGATTCACTTGCGGTTGTCTTTTAACTCTTGAGAACTGCTCACATTTTCCTGGGTCTTCATATATCAAGTAAGAGCATCTCCTTAGAAAATGAAATGTCTCATTTCCATTTTTCCTAAGTACTGTATAGTTTATTTAAGTAAATAAGTAATATGCTTAACATTAATTTTTTTTATTTTTTATCTACAAGGAGAACAAAGTCAGGACAAAGTGCACATCTTTTAATGATTATTTTTATTTTTAAAGATTTATTTATTTATTCAAAAGATAGAGGCAGAGAGAGTGAGGTCTTCCATCTGCTTGTTCACTCCTCAGATGGCCACAATGGATGGAGCTGTGATAATCTGAAGCTAGGAGCTTCATCTGGGTCTCCTACGTTGGTGCAAGGGCCCAAGGACTTGGGCCATCTTCTGCTTTCCCAGGCCACCATAAAAAGCTGAATCAGAAGTGGAGCAGCCGGGACTCGAACCAGCATCCATATGGGATGCCACCACTACAGGTGGCCGCTTTACCTGCTAAGCCACAGCCCTAGCACCCTCCCCCAATTATTTTGAATTTAAAAGATTCCATATGTAATGAGAAGTTATTATCTTACAAACCACATAAATTTGAAAGATTATTAGCATTTCAAAACAGCTTTTTGTGATGGTAAAGTTTTTAATTCTATGGAAGAGCTGTTGCACATTTCCAAAAATAGCAGCTCTTTTACTTTCAATTAAATCCAAAACAAGTTCAGTGTTAGTAACTTCCAAGATATATTAGCACGGGATTCCTGACAAATTCTCAGGGCTACGAGCAGTATAATGAGAAAACAATGAATTTAAAATATCCTTGTTTAGAAAAATCCTGTTACCAGCTTTCAGGACCATCTGTCTTGTCAAGCATTTAATTTGCAATAACAAAAGATACAGTGGAAAGGAAAATAATGAATTATAAAAGGATTTCCTTCACGTTTGCTCTGATGTCATACTTATGGCTTGTGGGAATCCCGTTTTGCCATTTATTTGGTTCCTTTAAGCATTATTTATCAGAGGATGACCTAGATCTGACTGTGGAGTTGCCTGGTGTTCTTGATCTAAATGCACAGTACAATTCTTGGTTCCGTATTATCTTTAAAAGCAGTGTCATTCATGGTTGGGATAGTTCGATACTGTCTCACAGGTGATTTTCTTTTTTTTTTTTATCTTTTATTTAATGAATATAAATTTCCAAAGTACGACTCATGGGTTACAATGGCTTCCCCCCCCATACCGTCCCTCCCACCCACAACCCTCCCCTTTCCCACTCCCTCTCCCCTTCCATTCACATCAAGATTCATTTTCGATTATCTTAATATACAGAAGATCAGCTTAGTATACCTTAAGTAAGTATTTCAACAGTTTGCTCCCACACAGAAACATAAAGTGAAAAATAATAGATGATTTTTTTTAAATGATGATGAAATCAGATCAGACCTATTGTCATGTTTAATCCCAGTGAGAGTCAAGTTGGGAATTGATAATTTCTTTCTTTCCGTTTTGTCCTGTCATCTTTTTTACAGAAGATCAGATTAGTGTACATTAAGTAAAGATTTCAGTCGTTTGAACCCCCATAGAAACACAAAGTGAAATATACTGTTTGAGTACTCATTATAGCATTAAGCCTCAGTGTACAGCACGTTAAGGACAGAGATCCTACATGAGGAGTAAGTGCACAGTGACTCCTGTTGTTGACTTTACCAATTGACACTCCTGTTTATGGCATCAGTAATCTCCCTATGAAACCTCCTGAAGTGAAATGGACACTATGAGAAATGGTGACTTGATCAGCATAGCCCTGACTGCTAATGGACAACTTAATACATTATCCCTCATAGTATTTTTTTTTGTCTGTTCTACTTAATATGACTGGTTTAATTCTGTAATTATCACACAGTTATTCTTAAGTGTTGAAAATTAACTGAAATGTGATCCCTGTTAAACATAAGAGTGGGAATAAGAGAGGGAAGAGATGTATAATTTGGGGCATGCTCGGGCTGACTTGCCCCAATTGGTAGAGTTGGAAACATACCAGGGGATTCCAATTCAATCCCATCAAGGTGGCATGTGCCAATGCCATCTCACTACTCCAAGTGATCAATTTCAGTTCACAATTGATCATAATGAAAGGACTAAGAGTCAAAGGGAGCACATAAACAAGTCTAGTATCTGCTAACACCAACAGATAGAATAAATAAAGGGGAGAGTGATCCAACATGGGAAGTGAGATACTCAGCAGACTCATAGAATGGCAGATGTCCTAAATAGCACTCTGGCCTCAGAATCAGCCCTAAAGGCACTCGGATCTGGCTGAAAAGCCCATGAGAGTATTTCAGGCATGGAAAGCCAAGACACTCTGGCAAAAAGATCTCTGTGAGTGAGATCCCAGTGGAAAGAACAGGTCTTCAAAGAGGGAGGTGCCTTTCTCTGAAGGGAGGAGAGAACCTCCACTTTGACTATGACCGTGTCCAAACAAGATAAGAGTCGGAGAACTCAAGGGGCTTCCATAGCCTTGGAAACTCACAGGTGATTTTCTGCAAATTGGCCTCAGGTCTTTAGGGAGGAGGCTGTCAGTGTGAGGGGCAGTGGAGAGCTATTTTAGATCCCTTCTGGATTGGCACAGGTGGGAATGAACTTAAGTTGCTGTAACATTCAGCCTTAAATTGAGATTCATTGTCTAAGAAATTTCCACAATAATAAGACAAGAGAAGATGCTCTCTACACACTGTGATTATGCTTACCAGTGATTGTAGAGTGATTATGATAACCAGTTCTTCTTATTAGACTAGAAATGGATGTACGATATGTGAGAAAGAAAGCCATACTGCTAAAGGTCAGCAAGAGAGAAAGGGTCCAGCTCCTCTTTTGAAAACTATGCCTTCTGTGATGGAAGTAGTCTCATGGTGCCAGGGACCGGTCTATGTCCACTTGGTATTTGTGATATTTCTCTTCCTCACCTAAGCTGTTATATTTTGAGTGCAACCCCTTGATTTTAAAAGAAATATATACTGAAGCCAGCACTGTGGCGTAATGGGTAAAGCTACTGCCTTCAGTGCTGGCATCCCATATGGGTGCCGGTTTGAGTCGCGGCTGCTCTACTTCTGATCCAGCTCTCTGCTGTGGCCTGGGACAGCAGTAGAAGATGGCCCAAGACCTTGAGCCCCTGCACCCATGTGGGAAACCTGGAAGAAGCTTCTGGCTTCAGACTGGCGCAGCTCCACCCTGTTGCAGTCAATCGGAGAGTGAATCAGCAGATGGAAGACCTCTCTCTCTCTCTCTCTACACCTCTCCTTTTCTCTCTGTGTAACTCTGACTTTCAAGTAAATAAATCTTTCTAAAATAAAAGAAATATATGCTTTATTGAAATTCTTTCTCTTGGCTTCATGTTACAGAAAGAAAAAATAACTCATATTAAGGATTGCTGTTCCACTTTGTACTTTGTCATCCTCAGAAACAAACTTTGTGTCTAAAATATGGATACTTTATGATAATTTTGAAATCATGCTTGAAAATTCTTCAATTTCAGTAAATTTTTTTCCTTTTTTACAGTCTATAATTATAACAGTGACCAATTTGGACACAGTGAATGATGTTGTCAACGTATCACTACCAATGCTGGGATTAACTGTAAGTAACAGGAAAGCTACTTTTGGCTAAAAAACAACCTTGAGTTTAAAAAAAAAAAATTTAAATTTTTTATTTTCTCCCAGAAACCTTTATGTAAGGTATACAAATTTCATGCATTTCATAAACACAAATTTAGGAACATAGTGATTCTTCCCACCCTACTCTCTCTCCCACCCACACTGCCATCCTTCTTCCTCTTCCCTCTCCTATTCCTATACTTAGTTTTTAATAAGGTATATTTTAATTAACTTTATATACATAAAATTTACCCTGCACTAAGTATAGAGTTCAATAAACATTATGGAAAAGAAACCTGTTTCTCAACAGTTGAGACAAGGGCAATTCTGTAATTGCACCTCAAAGTGTCAATTTGACTTCTACAGATTATCTTTTAGGGACTCTGTTAGTTGCCAGAGATCAAGGAGAACATATAGTATTTGTGTGTTTTGGGTCTGGCTTATTTCACTAAGTGCAGTATTTTCCAGTTGCAGCCATTTTGTTGTAAACAACAGGATTTCATTTTTAACCGCTGTATAGTATTCCATAGTGTACATTTCCTATAATTTCTTTTTTTAAAAAGATTATTTATTTGAGAGGTAGAGTTACAGACAGTGAGAGGGAGAGACAGAGAGAAAGGTCTTCGTCTGTTGGTTCATTCCCCAAATGGCTGCAATGCCTGGAGCTGTGTTGATGCGAACAGGAGCCGGGAGCTTCTTCCAGTCTCCCACATGGGTGCAGAGGCCCAAGCACTTGGCCCATCTTCTACTGCTTTCCCATTCCATAGCAGAGAGCTGGACTGGAAGAGGAGCAGCCGGGACTAGGACCGGCGCCCATATGGGATGCCGATGCTGCAGGTGGAGGATTAACCTACTGCACCACCATGCTGGCCCCAACATTTCCTGTAATTTCTTTATCCAGTCTTCAGTTGACAGGCATCTGGGTTGATTCATATCATAGCTATTGTGAATTGAGCTGCAATAAACGTGGTGGTGCAGATAATACTTTCATATACTGATTTTATTTCCTTTGGGTATATTCCCAGGAGTGGGAGGGTAGGTATATTTAGCTTTCTGAGCTATCTCCATACTGTCTTCCACAGTGGCTGCACCAGTTTACACTGGATTAGGGTACCATTTTTCCTACATCCTCCCCAGGATTTGCAATTTGTTGATTTCTGTATGAAAGCCATTTTAACTGGGGTGAGGTAAAATCCCACTGTAGTTTTTGAATTGCATTTCCCTGAGCATTTTTTCATGTGTCTGTTGGCCATTTGAATTTCCTCTTTTGAGAAATGCCTGTTCCCAAAAGGAAGACCTTTCTCTCTGTCTCTCTCTTTCTCACTATCCACTCTGCATGTCAAAAAAAAAAGAAAAGAAAAAAAAAAAAGAAAAATGCCTGTTCCAGTCCTTTTCTCATTTCTTGACTGGATTGTCTGTCTCTTTTTTATTGTTGAGTTTCTTGAGCTCTTTATAGATTCTGGATATTAATCCTTTATCAGTTGCATAGTTTACAAATAATTTCTCCCATTCTGTTGGTTGCCTCCACACTTTGCTGGGTGTTTTTTTTTTTTTTTACAGTGCAGAAGCTTTTCAGTTTGATGTAATCCTATTTATCAATTATGGCTTTGGCTGCCTGTGCTTCTAGGGACCGTTCCAAGGGCTTTTTGCCTATGCCAATGTGTTGTAGGGTTTTCCAAAAGTCCTCTAATAATTTGTTGGTATTGGCTCATAGATTTAGGTATTTGATCCATTTTGAGTGGATTTTTATTTTTTTTTTATTTTTTTTTAATTTTTTTTTAAATTTTTTTTTTTGACAGGCAGAGTGGACAGTGAGAGAGAGAGACAGAGAGAAAGGTCTTCCTTTGCCGTTGGTTCACCCTCCAATGGCTGCCGCGGCCAGCGCGCTGCGACCGGCGCACCGCGCTGATCCGATGGCAGGAGCCAGGAGCCAGGTGCTTTTCCTGGTCTCCCATGGGGTGCAGGGCCCAAGCACCTGGGCCATCCTCCACTGCACTCCCTGGCCACAGCAGAGGGCTGGCCTGGAAGAGGGGCAACCGGGACAGAATCCGGCGCCCCGACCGGGACTAGAACCCGGTGTGCCGGCGCCGCTAGGCGGAGGATTAGCCTAGTGAGCCGCGGCGCCAGCCCATTTTGAGTGGATTTTTGTGTGAGGTGTAAGGTAGGGGTCTTGATTCATACTTCTACATGTGGAGATCCAGTTTTCCCAGCACCATTTGTTGAAGAGACTGTCCTGGTTTCAGAGGTTGATTTTAGCTTCTTTGTCAAAGGTAATTTGGTAAGTTTATTGTAGATGCTTGGATTGATTTCTGAGTTTCTACATTGTTCCATTGGTCTATCTATCTGTTTTTGGCCAGTACCAGGCTGTTTTGATTATAACTGCCATGTAGTATGTCTTTTTTTTTTTTTTTTTTTTTTTTTTTTTGGACAGACAGAGTTAGAGACAGAGACAGAGAGAAAGGTCCTCCTTCCGTTGGTTCACCCCCCAAATGGCCACCAATCCGAAGCCAGGAGCCAGGTGCTTCCTCCTGATCTCCCATGCGGGTGCAGGGCCCAAGCACTTGGGCCATCCTCCACTGCCTTCCCGGGCCACAGCAGAGAGCTGGACTGGAAGAGGAGCAGCCGGGACAGAATTGGCGCCCCAACTGGGACTAGAACCCCGGGTGCTGGCGCCACAGGCGGAGGATTAGCCAAGTGAGCTGCAGCGCTGGCCCCATGTAGTATGTCTTGAAATCTGGTATTATGATGCCTCCAGCTTTGTTTTTGTTCTATAGATTGCTTTAGCTATCCGGGGTCTCCTGTGTTTCCATATGAATTTCAGCATTTTTTTCTGTATCTGAGAAGGATTTCATGGGCTTTTTGTTTGGTGTTTCATTGAATCTGTAAATTTCTTTCAGTAGCGTGGCCTTGTCAATGATATTGGTTCTTCAAATTCATGAACATGGAAGATTTTTCCATTTCTTATATCCTCTATTTCTTTAGTAAAAAGGTTTGCAATTTTCATCGTATAGCTCTTTGATGACCTTGGTAAAATTAATTCCAAGCTATTTAATGTTTTTGTAGCTATAGTGAATGGGATTGATCTTAGAAGCTCTTTCGTAGCCAAGGCATGCTCTCTGTATACAAAAGCTATTGATTTTTGTGTGTTAGTTTTATATCCTGACACTTTACAGAACTCGCTTATGAATTCCAGTAGTCTCTTAGTGGAGTTTTTTAGATCTCCTATTTGTTGAATCACATCATCTGGAAAAAAGGATAGTTTGACTTCTTCTGGCCAAATTTCTATCCCTTTGATTTCTTCTTCTTGACTGATGGTTCTGGCTAAAACTTCTAGGACTATATTGAATAGCAATGTTGAGAGAGATTTTTGGTTCTGGATCTTGGGGTGAGTGATTCCAACTTTTCCCCATTCAATAGAATGCTGGCCGTGGGTTTGTCATAAAATGCTTTGTGTTGAGGAACGTTGCTTCTATACACAGTTGTTTAAGGTTTTCGTCATGAAAGGACGTTGTATTTTATCAAATGCTTTTCTGCATCTATTGAGATAACTATATGGTTTTTGTTCTTCAGTTTGTTAATGTGAGGTATCACAGTGATTGATTTGCAAATGTTGAACAATCCCTGCTTATCAGGGATAAATCCCCCTTGGTCCAACTGAATGATATTTCTGAAGTATATCATCAGGGAAATTGGTCTCTAGTTCTCTTCCTCTGTTGTATCTTTTTTTGGTTTAGGAATTAATGTGATTCTGGCTTCATGGAAGGAGTTTGGGAGGGTGTTCCCTTCCTTTCAGTTGTTTTGACTATCTTGAAAAGAATTGGAGTAAGCAGTGAATCTGTCCAGTCCTGGGATTTTATTTGTTTGGAGGGTCTTTATTACTGATTCAATTTCTGTCTTAGTTATTGGTCTGTTTAGGTCTTCCATGTCTTCCTGGCTCAATTCTGGTAGGTTGTAGGTGTCCAGTTATCCATTACTTCTAGGTTTCCCAATTTGTTGGCATACAACTCTTCACAGTAATTCCTGATGATTGTTTTCATTTTTGTGGCATCCATTGCTATATTACTTTTTTCATCTCTAATTTTGATTTAGGTCTTCTACCCCTTTTTTGGTTAGTTGGGACAATTGTGTATCAATTTTGTTAATTTTTTTAAAACAACTCTTCATGCCAATTGTTAAACCAACAGCAGGAGTCATTGTGCACTTGCTCCCCATGTAGGACCTCTGTCCTTAGTGTGTTGTACTATGAGAATTAATGGTAAAACTAGTCTTCAAACAGTACTTTATACCTTGTCTGTGTGGGTCCAAACTGTTCAACTCTATACTAAGTAAAGATTTTATCTTCTGTATATTAAGATAATTAAAAATGAATCTCAATGAAGAATGTAATGAGAGGGAGTAGGAGGTGGATGGTTTGTGGGTGGGAGAGTGGGTATTGGGGGAAGAACTGCTATAATCCAAAAGTTGTACTTGCAAAATTTATATTTATTAAATAAACACTTTCTATAAAAATACACTTTATATGGCAGATATTTTGCCCTTTACTTTGAATAAAGAATGTCTTGTATAAATTTAAAAAACTAGCTCTTCATTTTGCTGATTTTTTTTGTTTGTTTAAATTTTATTTAATTTTAATTAGTACTTTTTTCCTACTAATTTGGGGTTTGGTTAGCTGTTGTCTTTTTAGATCCTAGAGATGTATTGATAGCTCATTTATTTGGTACATTTTCAATTTCTTGATGTAGGTACCATTTGCTATAAACTTTCCCTTAATATTGTTTTTGCTGTATCCCAAAAGTTTTGATATGTTGCATTGTCACCTTCATTCAATACAAGATGTTTTTGTCTCTCTTTTGATTTCTTCTATGCATCATTTTCATTTAGGCACATGTTGTTCAGTCTCCAAGTGTTAACATATGTTCTAGAAATTCTTGACTTGTTGATTTCCAGGTTCATTCCATTGTGGTCTGAAAAGCTGCATGGTATGATTTTGATTCTTTTGAATTTGTTGAGACTTGCTTTATAGCCTAGTGTCTGGTCTATCCTAGAGAAAGTTACATGCACTGGTGAGATGAATGTGTATTCTGCAACTGTAGAATGAAAAGTTGCTCAGATATCCATTAGGTCCATTTGGTCTAGAGTGTTGATTAACTGTTTCATTAATGATCATCTGTTCATTGTTGAAAGTGGGGTATTGAAGTCTCGCATTACTGTTTTCTGTGTCTCCCTTTAGATTCCTTAGTGTTTATTTTAAATATCAGGTGCCCTCTAATTTGTGCATATACATTTGTACTAGTCACATCTTCCTGTTGAACTGATCTATTAATCATTACATTGTGCCTTTCTTTGTCTCTTGTAACAGTTTTTTTTTTTTAAGTCTATTTTGTCTGATATTAGGATAGGTACACCAGCTCTTTTTTTTAGTTTCTCTTAGCATGGGATGTTTTTTCCATCCTTTCTCTTTAAGACTGTATGTATCTTCGCTGGTGAGATATGTTTCTTCTAGGCAAAAAATAGAAGGGACTTGTTTTTAATCCATTCCGCCAGTCTGTGTCTTTTAACTGGAGAATTGAGGCATTTACATTCAAGATTACTATTGATAAGTCACGACTTTACCCTGCCATTTTTCCATAAATAACCCTATTGTTTACTTTGAATTTCTTTTATACTTTTACTGGCAGATTTTCTGCCTTCATATTCTTTCATAGTGTTGGCCACTTTTCTGTGTTTCTGTGTGTTCCACATCCTTAAACATCTTTTTTAAGGCTGAATGAGTGGTGTCACGTTCTTTGAATTTCTGCTTGTTATGGAAAGTCTTTATTTCACCTTCATTCATAAATTAATGCTCAGCAGGATACAGTATTCTGGTTTGACAGTTTTTTTTTTTTTTGACAGGCAGAGTGGACAGTGAGAGAGAGAGACAGAGAGAAAGGTCTTCCTTTGCCGTTGGTTCACCCTCCAATGGCCGCCGCGGCCGGCGCGCTGCGGCCTGCGCACCGCACTGATCCGATGGCAGGAGCCAGGAGCCAGGTGCTTTTCCTGGTCTCCCATGGGGTGCAGGGCCCAAGCACCTGGGCCATCCTCCACTGCACTCCCTGGCCACAGCAGAGAGCTGGCCTGGAAGAGGGGCAACCGGGACAGAATCCGGCGCCCCAACCAGGACTAGAACCCGGTTTGCTGGCGCCGCAAGGCGGAGGATTAGCCTAGTGAGCCGCGGCGCCGGCCTGGTTTGACAGTTTTTTTCTCTTAAGTTTTGGAATATATCTTGCCATTCTGTTCTGGCCTATAGGGTTTCAGATGAGAAGTCAACTGTGAGTCTTATTGGAGATACTCTGATTGTAATCTGGCATTTCTCTCTTGAACAATTGAGAATCTTTATGTTTTACTGTGAAGAGCTTGACTACAATGTGTCATGGTAAATATTATTTCTGGTCATGTTTATTGGGAGTTCTATGTACTTCCTGAACTTGTATGTCCCATTGTTTCTCCAAATTGGGGAAGTTTTCTATAATTATTTTGCTAAAAAGGACTTCTTCTTCTTCTTCTTCTTCTTTTTTTTTTTTTTTTGACAGGCAGAGTGGACAGAGAGAGAGAGAGAGAGAGAGAAAGGTCTTCCTTTACTGTTGGTTCACCCTCTAGTGGCTGCTGTGGCTGGCGCATCACGCTGATCCGAAGCCAGGAGCCAGGTGCTTCTCCTGGGCTCCCATGTGGGTGCAGGGCCCAAGGGCTTGAGCCATCCTCCACTGCACTCCCGGGCCACAACAGAGAGCTGGACTGGAAAAGGAGCGACCAGGACAGAATCCAGTGCCCTGACCGGGACTAGATCCTGGAGTGCTGGCGCCGCAGGTGGAGGATTAGCCTATTGAGCCACTGTGCTGGCCGCTAAAAAGGACTTCTAATCCGTTTTCTCTTTCTATGCCTTCAGGTATTCCTAAGTCCCACATGTTGGGTTATTTGATAGTATCCCATAAATCTCCAACATCTTTTTTTTGGTCCAACTGTAAAATTTCCAGAGATTTATCTTCTAACTTAGAAATTCTTTCTTCTGCCTCACTGAGTCTCTTGTTATGGCTGTCCACTGAATTTTTATTTAATCTGTTGAGTTCTTCATATCTAATATTTGTTTTTGACTTCTTTTTAAAATCTCAATTTCATGGGAAAAATTTTTATGTCATGTATGTATTTCTTCAATTCTTGGATTTGCGTCTGATTACTTGTAAGTAATCCCATGATCAATTTTTTGAATTCCATTTCTGGCATTTCTTCAATCTCTTCATCTTCACATTCTATTGAAGTGCTGTTGTGTTACTTTGGAGCATCATATTTTTTCCTTATTCTTGTTTCTTGAATTTCTTTATTTTTAGGCATTTGTGGAAATATTTATTGGTGTGTTTTTTCCCTGTGATGGCTTTTATCTTTGAACAATGTCTCTTTGGCTTAGTGTAGTGTCTGCTCTTTGAGTGAATACCCAGAGGTGTGTGCTGTTTGTGGCCAGGGACCTTTGCTCCAGGTTGAGGGGAGTGTCCAGGCGATACTCAAGTTGGGCGTGGCAAGTCTCTCTCTCTTTTTTATTTTTATCAGAGGGGTGGTTTGTTCATCTCTGTTGGCATAGTCTCACACTCACCTCCTCTCCTCACAGGTGACCAAAGCCCAGGTACTAGCCCCAGTGGGTGCAGTATTCATCCAGAACCACACAATGGATCCATGCAGTCCTCAGTGTGAGCACAGATCCTGCAGCAATGACCCTCACAGTCAGTCAGCCCTGTGTGTGTGGAGCTGCCCTCAGCAACCGCCCAGAGACTAGCCACACCCTCTGATGTCCCACACAGCCAGTGTTTTCACAGTTCCAGCACACATAGTTGGTCATGAGCACTCCTCCTGTCAGTTCTCCCAGCCAGACTCTGGCATCTCTTCTCAGCTGGTTTGTAGGTGCAAGGAAAGAAGCTGTGCAGTTGTTACGCATGTCCAAAATGGTTCCTGCCCTCTCTCAGCTAGTTATAGGACACCGTTGTCAGGTGGCTGGAGGAGAGAAACATGTCCCCCCTTTACTTCTAGGTTGGCAGGTCTACTGTCCACCACAGGGCTCTAAGCCAGACTCATGCCCAACACTCTCTGCAGGTTTGTTGCCAATGGGTTGGGCTGATGCTCTCTCACTCTCTCACCTCTCTCACCTCTCTCACCTCTCTCACCTCACTCTTCAAAGCTTGTGCTGAGTCTCTTGGCTGTTGGGGTCCTTTTTTGTGTCTGTGTTCATGCTGCACATCCACACCCTCCACATGGAACCACAGCATCCCTCTAACGTGGGTGGCATTTCCACTGCAGTTTTCTCCCTGTTCCCTGAGATTACACTCTCTCCACTTTTTAAAAAAACTATCTTCCCCTAGACTAGAGCAGTAAGCTTCCTCCCTGTTCTGCCATATTGGAATCTCTCCAACCTTGAGTTTTGAGACTAATATACTTTAACATGCGCATGTGCACACACACACACACACACACACACAACGTTCATGCCTGGGGCATTCCATAATGTCAGGTCTTGTGTTTTCTTCAGGAAGCATTTGACAATAACTCCATTAGAATCATGGTTTTCTTTACTCCAAGTTGGAAGACACTACAATAATTTAACAGGTGTACAACGTAGGTGTGTTTGTTTCAACTGGCATTTCTAGAGTTGCTGGGGTAATTACTTTCGGTCCCTAGTGTATTCTATGGGTTGGAATCCTTGTCTTTTTTGTCTCGTACTGAGGCTTGTAGGAATGCAAGCCAGTGGGCTGACGTCATTCAGCTTTCTTGGGTATTTGCTATTGTTCTGGTTTGCCTAGCTTATGATATCTTCTAAATATTATTCTGATTAAGCATAGTCATGATTGGTATACAACTTCCTGGGCAAAAAATTTATACGGACAAGGACTCATGAGGGCAAAGTACAATATACTCTAAAGCAACTGAAAATGCCAGAAGGTAGAATTCTCACGATTAGATTTTCTTAGTGAAAAAGCATAAATGTGATTTCTTATTTGGAAATGTGAAATGTAGAAATGCTAAGGAAATATGTCTTTCATGTATGTATAATGGAGATTTGTTGTGATGTCTTTTTTTTTGTCTCCAAGGGCTCTGAGAAAGATTACCAGCTATGGGTCAGTTCTGGAAAGAAGGAGGTCCCACAACCACTCATTGGTAAGTGTGAAGCAAAATCTAAAATGAGATTGATTGGGCTCAAAATGGTAACTGTCAAGTCACTAAGTATTGGTTGCTTGGTCTTCAGCTTAAACACCCTTACATACATTTAGGGAGTTACCATGCACTTACTGTATCCCAGGTGCCTGATAGCATCTTTGTATTCAGAAGCTTATGGTCTAGTGGGAGAAAATAATAGAAAGTTTTCCCCTCTGCTTTCTTATGTGGCTAACAGAGCTTTCTTGGAATAATTCTTTTTTCTTGTCCTGAAATGAAAATGGATTCATACTTTATTTTCTTTGAACATTTGTTTGATACATATATTCATGTGTTGAAGTTCTCCGTTCCATTTCCTAACTAATAGCTAGCAGTTTTTTGGTAAGGAGCTCCTAAAATCCAGTCATGTCTCTGAATTCAAGTACAAGTATTTGGTTAATGCCAAATTTATGCCCAGAACATATGTCAGCCTAAAAAGAGAATCAAGATAATCCCATTCAAACTCCTAAGTGCTTTTCTGATTGACAAACCTGTACTGTTTAACCATTTCTCTCTCCCTCTCTCTCTCTCCCTCTCTCTCTCTCTCTCACACACACACACACACACACACACTCTTTAGTCTTCAGCTTATTGATAAAAACATTGTGGCTCTCCTAAAATAGTTTTGGAGCAATTTAGCTAAAGAAGATACAATTCACAGATCAGAAAATTTGTTCATGCTCTTAGTAGGAACAGAGTGATTAAAAGGAGAGGAGGGTGGGTATGGTGAGAAGAATCACTACATTCCTAAAGTTGTACTTATGAAATTTGTATTCATGAAATAAAAGGTTTTTTTGGGAAAACAAGGATACCAGGGGCAGCATTTGCCACAGACCTTGCAGTAGAATGATCGTGATGGCTCCCCTAAGATCAGAGCATTTCCTCGTCTGCCTTATCTTCTTTCTGTCCTTTCAACAGTCTTGTAAGGACGTTACTGTGAAATTTAGGATGTTTTCAAGTAATCTGCAAAATTTAAAATATGCAATTTATCTTTTTGAAATATATATTGCCAATCTCAGAATACAGGCATCATTAAGTACATCTGAGGGGAAAAAATCCACCTGCCCATTGCATATTATTTGGTGTTTTGTTGTTGTTCGTTTTGGCTTAATGTTGTAAAAGTCAGCAATAAAACAAGTGTAAAAAAGTAATGAAATATATTTTAACAAAAGTTATTAGTTTATGTAACACATGGTCCGGGGGTAACTTAGATATAGAACAGCTTTTTACATCACAACAGGTTTCAAGGACTTTAAGAGCATAGCATTCATGGTGACCTCTTGGCATCCACACTGAATGCGTATTTAACAGGCTGTCAGCTCTCAAATGTGGATTAACTCTTGCATATTTTGTTGTATACATCACATAAACTTCTTTTCCTGCAAGACAGAAATTACTATAATTCCTGTTTTGAGCACAATGCCTGTGCCTGATGTAAAGGTAAATTCAGTGATAAATTTAGGATGAAAAAGGAATATTTACTCTGTTGTTAAATAAAATTTACCTTAAAGTTAAGGATGTTTAAATTTTTTAAAATTTATTTTCTGAGAGGCAGGTTGGGGGGCGGTGCTGGGGAGGGAGAGAGAGAGACAGACAGACAAAGTGCTGAACTGCCAGTTCTCTCCCCAGGGGCCAAATCCAGGAACTTGGTCCAGGGCTCCTACATAAGTGGCATGAACCCAGTTACTCAAGCCATCACCCCTGCCTCCTAGGACCTGCATTAGCACAAAGCTGGAGTTGGGAACTGTGGACAGGGATCAAATCTGGGTAGTCCAATATGGGGCACAGGTGTTGCAACCAGCATCCTAACTGTGTGCTAAACAGCCACCCCTGTTACAAGATCTTTGGGAATTTCTTGGATCATCAGGAATTTAAATAATGTAAGAGCAAATCAAATGACTTTGCATGTACTCTGGAAACAGTGTTTTGCACAATGCTTCTGGGTTTCCAACAGCCTGCAGCCTTCCCTCTGGTTAGCTGAGAGAGCCCCTGAGAAGGAGGCAGTGAGTGAAACCTGGCCCCACTGCTCTTGAGCAGCCCTATCCTTAGAGCTGACAAAGGGAAATGAAGTCTCTCTTGATAGAGAGATTAATGATCATAGCAATTCATGATATGTTTAATTATTCACAGAATGTTAACCACTGATGTTTCTTCACATATTTCCACTTAGAAGTCTGTGTGATAAGGGAGGGTAAGGATTGAAAATGATGAAGGGAATCACAGTGGGGTCAAGTGACTTGCAGGAGTTACACTTGGTTGGTGTCATGGCAGAAACCAGGAGGCCTTACATATTTTCTGATGGAAACAGCAGACATCATCAACACGGAATGCAAAGAGGGATGTATGCATTCCAAGCTAGTCAGCAGGTTTCCACCTTTGTTCTCTTTGCTTTTGCAAAGTTCCTTGCTGGGACACCTGCTTTATGCGGTGTCTCCTCAGACAGTTTGCATGATGCTCACTCACAAGACAGCCCTCTTCCTTCTGGAAGCTCCAGGAGAACTTCAGCAGGCCCCAGTGTGGTACCCATGCTGATGACAAGGGATCACCCTCATCCCCATCAGCCTGATCCCCACTGAGGTTTTTCTCTGCACAGGGCATGAAAATCCCTATGCAATCCAAACAAGCTACCTTCGAGCTGTGCGCCTGCCGCCTGAACCCGGGAAGTCTACCTTTCCTTCTGGCCTCCAGGAGTCTGTGTTGGAAGAGTTGCAATCAGAAGTACATGGGTGCTTCATTCTGAAGCCCAGGCTCCAGGCCAGAGCCCAGCGCAGGACTGGTGAGTCATTTTCTTTCCACTAACTGCCTGCTCTTAGCTTACATCTTCATTCCCGAGAACAAACTCATGACACAGAGCTCTTCTCCGTGCAGAAGAAGGGGTAGAGTAGAGGCAGGAGCCTAATACCCATGCAGAACCAGGCTTAGAGAAACCATTTAAAGATCACAGTCCAAACCCAGCTCAGGTCTAGGAAGTTTGTGTTCATTCCTGTATGTTAGATCTTGAGTCTTCTCTGTACATAATTGGGCACATACCCACCTGTGTCACATTAGAGCAAAGCTTCTGAAGGTCTGGGAAGGCATGACTTCCCCACCACTGGGCTTCACCCTGAATCCAGGGTGAGGGCGGCAGGTGACTGATTTACTGCATGACTTAGACACACCTGAAATGGAAACTCCAGGAGGTTAAGGAGTTGTAGAATTGAACTGTACTGGGATTGGGTTGTACTGTGCCTTGGGCAGAAGTGGCTGAGGGGTTTTAGCCTGCACTGAATCTCAGTGACCCCACAGCATGCTGACTTTCCACGTGTGCTTCAGACAGACACAGATCTAGACTAGAGCTGGACTGAATATTGTCAGAGATTTTGAGCTCCTCAATTACAGTTTTCTTGCTACCATCCCAGTGATCTTTTGATAGATGTTCTTTTGCAGAACACTTGTTAGTAAGAGGAGAAATATTGTGGCAACTTTTTTTAAACAGAGTTTATTTATTTGAATGACAGAAGTAGAGAGACAGACATCTTTTTTTCTGTTTTTTTTTTTAATTTTATTTTCATGTGCTTTTTTTAAGTTTTATTTAAGGTATACAAATTTCATGTATTTCATATATACAGAGTTAGGCACATAGTGATACTTCTCACCCTACCCTCCCTCCTACACTATTCCCACTCTTAATTTTTACAAGCGTCTATTTTCAGATTACTTTATGCTCATAAGGTTAACCACACACTAACTAAAGAGTTCAACAAATAGTATGTGAAGACTGGTTAAAGAAATTATGGTATACTTACACTATGGAGTTCTACTCAGTGGGGAAAAAAATGAAACCCTGTATTTTGCAACAAAATGGATGAAACTGGAAATCACTATACTTAGTGAAATAAGCCAGTCCCAAAAAGACAGATCATGTTTTCCCAGATCGGGATAACTAATGGAGTACCTGTAATGTAGATTTGAGATTCAATGATTATTTACAGCCCTTGTCTCTTCTGTTGAACAGCGGGTTTTTAAATACTATTCATTGAACTCTTTTATGTAGTGTATGATTAACCTTACTATCATTAAGTAAACTGAAATTAGATCTCTGTAAAAAATTAAGAGTGGGGATTTGGGAGGGAGGGGGAAGAAGGGTTGGAGTGTCGGTGGGAGAGAGGGTAGAGTGGGAAGTAGCACCATGTTCCTAAATGTGTACATATGAAATACATGAAACCTGTATAACTTACATTTTTTAAAATGTCAAAAAAGACCCAAATAATATGAAGAAAAAAATCAGTGTTTATCAGCAGTAGAAATAAGGGCTGTAAACAATCATCAAATTTCAAAATGTCAGTTTCACTCCTATACATTTTAGGTCTTCTCTTAGTTACCACAGAGCAAGGAGAACATATGGCATTTGTCATTTGGCATTGGCTTATTTCACGAAGTATAATTTCCAGTTGTATCCGTTTTATCGCAAAAAGGGTTTCATTTTTTCACACTTTTCACAGTGTGTGTGTGTGTGTGTGTGTGTATCTCAAGCTCATAATTTCTTTATCCAGTCATCAGTTGATGGACATCTGGGTTGATTCCATACTTAGCTATCATGAATTGAGCTTTTGGTTCACTCCACAAATGGCCATAATTGACAGAGCTGGTCTGTGCTAAAGTCAGGATCCTCGAACTCCATCCAGGTCTTCCACATGGCAGAGGCCCAAGCACTTGGACCATACTCCACAGACATATTAGCAGGGAGATGGATTGTAAGTGGACCAGCTAGGACTTGAATGGACACTCTGTTATGGGATCCCAGTGTTGCAGGCCGCAGCTTAGGTCACTGTATCACACACTGTTCCCAAGAATTTAATTTCTACCCAAATCATTCCTTTTAGGCTCTGTATTAGTGCGTAATCGACAGGCAGAGTGGACAGTGAGAGAGAGAGACAGAGAGAGAAAGGTCTTCCTTTGCCGCTGGTTCACCCTCCAATGGCCGCCGCTGCAGCCGGCGCACCGCGCTGATCCTGGCAGGAGCCAGGAGCCAGGTGCTTTTCCTGGTCTCCCATGGGGTGCAGGGCCCAAGCACCTGGGCCATCCTCCACTGCACTCCCTGGCCATAGCAGAGAGCTGGCCTGGAAGAGGGGCAACCGGGACAGAATCCGGCGCCCCAACCGGGACTAGAACCCGGTGTGCCGGCGCCGCAAGGTGGAGGATTAGCCTATTGAGCCACGGCGCCGGCTTTACCCAAATCATTCTTATTATGATTTTATTCTATAGGTACAACATCCCCAGTGTTAATTATTTTAACGCTGGTACCCTTATTTGAGCAAGGGAAAATCAGCACCCCTAATAGTGCCAGGACTGTAAGAAAGGCTCAAGTTCTTTTAAGTAAGCTTACTGAATTACCTAGTATGTTTCATGGAAATAGGTGTAGATTCCCATGGGATCATAGAAGTAACCTGAACTCACAAACTAAATAACATGCTTTAAGAATGGTCCAGCTAAGCACTGTATTTGTTTCTCCATATTCTGATTATAAAGCTACATATCAAAGCATAGATGATGATTCTTAAAAGCAGCCCCTTATTACAGTTAAGTAATGCATTATGTTCTAATAATTCTGGAAATAATAAAATCAGGTGAGGCATAGTGGCAACAGCTTATATACAACAGTTTAAGCTGTATCTCCATTTATATTTGAACAGCCAGTTGAATAGGATGGCGTATAGTCACAGACTGCTAGATTTGAGAATGCATTTGCTTTCTTCTCTCCTTTTCAAATAGTGGAGGGATGAATACTGGGTAGTTGTACAGTGACTGCACATGGCCTCTGGAGACTGCTAAATCAGATCGAAAATGGGGTGCAGTCTTCTTCAGGGGGAGGAGACAAAGTCTAGGTTCCCTGAGGTCACCTGACTGAGCACTGGCATGATTTTCATCAGGGCTGTGCAGAGCCAAGTCTTGTGCTGAACACTACATTATATTCCTCAGTGAAATGAGGTACAGGCGGCATCATTCGTGTAGAAGTTGACTGGACTGAGGGTCCAAAGTTTTGAGTAACTGGAGTGGGAGAACCAGGGGCCCATCCTGGCCTCTAGGAGCCAGCTCCAGGATCATTTCCCTCATGTGTTTGTATGACAGTGGTGCGGTCTATGGCCCAGAAATGCCAAGTGGATGGGCACTGTAGGATACGTGGTGAAGTGTTATCCATCTGATACCAGGTCAACACCTTTGCCGCTCTATGGCCTTCATTCCCAGTGTTTGGAATCTCAGGTTATTTAAGAAAGTACTAAGACACCTTATTAAGGAAACAGGCAGGTTTTCCTTCCTGATTCCCATTTCTATGGAAAACTCCTCTTCACCATTCATTTATCAGAGCCTGTTGGGTAACTAAAAACTATTCCTGTATAGCTTGGCAGGGTGTCACAAAGAACTAGGTCATGTGGGTTTTAAAAAAAAATTTGTGTCAATTTATTTTTTTAAGATTGACTTATTATAGTTCTGGAAGTTTTAGCCAGAGCTATTAGGCAAGAAAAAGAAATTAAAAGGATACAAATTGGGAAGGAAGAACTCAAACTATCCCTCTTTGCAGATGATATGATTCTTTATTTAGGGGATCCAAAGAAATCTACTAAGACTATTGGAACTCATAGAAGAGTTGGGCAAAATTGCAGGATATAAAATCAATGCACAAAAATCAACAGCCTTTGATTACACAGGCAATGCCATGGCTAAGGAAGAACTTCTAAGCTCAATCCCATTCACAATAGCCACAAAAAACAATCAAATACCTTGGAATAAACTTAACCAAGGATGTTAAAGATCTCTATGATAAAAATTACAAAACCTTAAAGAAATAGAAGAGGATACCAAAAAATGGAAAAGTCTTCCATGCTCATGGATTGGAAGAATCAATATCATCAAAGTGTCCATTCTCCCAAAAGCAATTGATATTCAATGCAATACCAATCAAAATACCAAAGACAGTCTTCTCAGATCTGGAAAATATGATGCTGAAATTTATATGGAGACACAGGAGACCTCGAATAGCTAAAGCAATATTGTACAACAAAAACAAAGCCGGAGGCATCACAATACCAGATTTCAGGACATAGTACAGGGCAGTTGTTATCAAAACAGCATGGTACTGGTACAGAAACAATGGATAGACCAATGGAACAGAATAGAAACACCAGAAATCAATCCAAACATCTACAGCCAACTTATATTTGATCACGGATCCAAAACCAATTCCTGGAGCAAGGACAGTCTATTCAATAAATGGTGCTGGGAAAACTGGATTTCCACATACAGAAGCATGAAGAAAGACCCCTACCTTTCACCTTACACAAAAATCCACTCAACATGGATTAAAGACCTAAATCTACGACCTGACACCATCAAATTATTAGAGAACATTGGAGAAACCCTGCAAGATATAGGTACCAGCAAAGACTTCTTAGAAAAGACCTCAGAAGCACAGGCAGTCAAAGCCAAAATTAACATTTGGGTTTGCATCAAATTGAGAAGTTTCTGTACTGGAAAAGAAACAGTCAGGAGAGTGAAGAGACAACCGACAGAAGGGGAAAAAATATTTGCAAACTATGCAACAGATAAAGGGTTAATAACCAGAATCTACAAAGAGATCAAGAAACTCCACAAAAACAAAACCAACAACCCACTTAAGAGATGGGCCAAGGACCTCAATAGACATTTTTCAAAAGAGGAAATCCAAATGGCCAACAGACACATGAAAAAATGTTCAAGATCACTAGCAATCAGAGAAATGCAAATCAAAACCACAATGAGGTTTCACCTCACCCCGGTGAGAATGGCTCACATTCAGAAATCTACCAACAACAGATGCTGGCGAGGATGTGGGGGAAAAGGGACACTAACCCACTGTTGGTGGGAATGCAAACTGGTCAAGCCACTATGGAAGTCAGTCTGGAGATTCCTCAGGAACCTGAAGATAACCCTACCATTCAACCCAGCCATCCCACTCCTTGGAATTTACCCAAAGGAAATGAAATTGGCAAACAAACAAGCTGTCTGCACCTTAATGTTTATTTCAGCTCAATTCACAATAGCTAAGACCTGGAACCAACCCAAATGCCCATCAACAGTAGACTGACTGGATAAAGAAATTATGGGACATGTACTCTATAGAATACTATACAGCAGTAAAAAAAAAAAAACAATGAAATCCGGTCATTTGCAACAAGATGGAGGAATCTGGAAAACATCATGCTGAGTGAATTGAGCCAGTCCCAAAGGGACAAATATCATATGTTCTCCCTGATCGGTGACAACTAATCAAGCACCAAAAGGAAACCTGTTGAAATGAAATGGACACTATGAGAAACAGTGACTTGATCAGCCCTTGTCCTGTCTGTTGATGTACAATGTAATACTTTATCCCTTGTAATATTTTTTTTGTTCTACTTAATATTATTGGTTGAACTCTGTAATTAACACACAATTATTCTTAGGTTAAAAGTGATCCCTGTAAATATAAGAGTGGGAATAAGAGAGGGAGGAGATGTACAATATGGGACATGCTCAAGCTGACTTGCCCCAAATAGTAGAGTTAGAAGCATGCCAGGGATTCCAATACAATCCCATCAAGGTGGCATGTACCAATGCCATCTCATTAGTCCCAGTGATCAATTTCAGTTCACAGTTGATCACACTGATAGGTCTAAGAGTCAAAGGGATCACACAAACAAGACTAGTGTCTGCTAATACTAACCGATAGAATCAAAAAGGGAGAGAAAAATCTAACATGGGAAGCGGGATACACAGGAGACTCATAGAATGACAGATGTCCTAAACAGCACTCTAGCCTCAGAATCAGCCCTTAAGGCATTCGGATCTGGCTGAAGAGCCCATGAGAGTATTTTAGGCATGGAAAGCCAAGATACTCTGGGAAAAAAAGTAAGACCTAAATGAAAGGTCTCTGTGAGTGAGATCCCAGTGGAAAGAATGGGGCCATCAAAGGAGGAGGTACCTTTCTCTGAAGGGAGGAGAGAACTTCCACTTTGACTATGGCCTTGTCTAAATAAGATCAGAGTTGGCAAACTCAAGAGGCTTCCAATAGCCTTGACAGCTCATGACTGGAGCATAGGGTGATTACTGATGCCATAAACAAGAGTGTCAAATTGTTAAGTCAACAACCGGAGTCACTGTGTACTTACTTCTCATGTGGGATCTGTCCTTAATGTGTTGTCCAATGTGAAGTACTGCTATAACTAGTACTGAAACAGTATTTTACACTTTGTGTTTGTGTGGTGCAAACTGATGAAATCTTTACTTTATATACAGAAGATCGAATTAGTATATATTAAGATAATTGAAAATGAATCTTGGCCAGTGCCGTGGCTCAATAGGCTAATCCTCCGCCTTGCGGCACCGGCACACCAGGTTCTAGTCCCGGTTGGGGCACCGGATTCTGTCCCAGTTGCCCCTCTTCCAGGCCAGCTCTCTGCTGTGGCCTGGGAGTGCAGTGGAGGATGGCCCAGGTCCTTGGGCCCTGCACCCCATGGGAGACCAGGAGAAGCACCTGGCTCCTGCCTTTGGATCAGCACGGTGCGCTGGCCGCAGCGGCCATTGGAGGGTGAACCAATGGCAAAGGAAGACCTTTCTCTCTGTCTCTCTCCCTGTCCACTCTGCCTGTTAAAAAAAAAAAAAAATGGCCGGCGCCGTGGCTCACTAGGCTAATCCTCTGCCTAGCGGCGCCGGCACACCGGGTTCTAGTCCCGGTTGGGGCGCCGGATTCTGTCCCGGTTGCCCCTCTTCCAGGCCAGCTCTCTGCTGTGGCCAGGGAGTGCAGTGGAGGATGGCCCAGGTGCTTGGGCCCTGCACCCCATGGGAGACCAGGAAAAGCACCTGGCTCCTGGCTCCTGCCATCAGATCAGCGCGGTGCGCCGGCCGCAGCACGCCAGCCACGGTGGCCATTGGAGGGTGAACCAACGGCAAAGGAAGACCTTTCTCTCTGTCTCTCTCTCTCACTGTCCACTCTGCCTGTCAAAAAATAAAAAAAAAAGAAAAAGAAAAAGAAAATGAATCTTGATGTGAATGGAATGGGAGAGGGAGCAGGAGATGGGAGTGGTGCGAGTGGGAGGGAAATTATGGGGGGAAAGCCATTGTAATCCATAAACTGTACTTTGGAAATTTGTATTTACTAAATAAAAATTTAAAAAATTATAATGATAAAAAATTTATTTATTTGAATGGCAGTGTTACAGAGAGGCAGAAGCAGAAACAGAGATCTTCCATCTGCTGGTTCAATCCCCAAATAGCCCTAATGGCCAGAGCCAGGCTGATCCAGAGCCAGGAGCTTCCTCTGGGTCTTCCACATGGGTGCAGGGGACCAAGGACTTGGGCATTTTCTACTGCTTTACCAGGCCACAGCAGAGAGCTGGATCTGAAGCAGAGCAGCCGGGTCTTGAACTGGAGCCTATATGGGATGCCAGTACTGCAGGCATCCTGCAGGAGCCAGGCTTTATTCGCTATGCCACTGCGCCAGCCCCAGCCCCATGGGTTCTTACCACTCAAATAAGGACCCAGGTGAAGAAAGTGGTTATCCATGGAAGTGCTCAAGGCTTGCAGCCCTCCAAAGTGAAAGGGTCAGATGCTGGCTCAGGAGTAGGTCAAGAAGCTTCTGCCATGATCTCTTTGATGCTAGAGAATTGATGGTAATTGGGCATTTAGAACAAGAAACAGGAAATCTCAGAATGGGAGGGAGACTTGGCATGAAAGTAAATGATCAGAGACGGGTGCTGTGGCGTAGTAGGTTAAGCCTCCGCCTGCAGTGCTGGCAGCCTATATGGGCTACTCCTCTTCCAATCCAGTTTCCTGCTAATGGCCTGAGAAAGCAGCAGAAGATGGCTCAAGTGCTTGGGCCCCTGCACCCACGTGGAAGACCCAAAAGAAGCTCCTGACTCCTGGCTTTGGATCAGCATACTTGGTGAGTGAACCAGCTGGTGGAAGACTTCTCTGTCTTCCCCTCTCTCTGTAACTCTGCCTCTCAAATAAATAAATACATCATTTAAAAAAGAAAGTGGATGATCAAACTCCACTTGTTTTCAATATAAAATATTTTGTAGCTTTTAAAATGAGATTTGACACCTGAATCCCCTGATCGAACTTAACATCAAGTACTTGCAGAGCTACATGTTAAGGACCTCACAGTGCAATGGAAGGAGCTCTAGATTATGCTGCCTAGAAAGTATTGTTGCTGAAAGAATTGAACCCAAGTCTCTTGGCCTCTGTTTCACTGCCAGTTGATTTGAGAGGTCATGAGGCTGAGAGAGATCCAAGGAGGGAGAGAGACAGAAAGTTCTCTCTTCCTGATTAACCCCCCAAATAGCCAGCAAGGACCCTGGCTGGGACAGGGCTAGGAATCTGGAAACTTAATCCAGGTCTCCCTTGTGAGAGGCAGGAACTCAACTTCTTGAGCCATCAGTGCGGTCTCCCTCCCAGGGGCTGCATTTGCAAGAAGCTGGGAGGCAGAGGTAGAAATCAAACCCAGCTACTTAGGTGTGGGACATGGACATCTTAGCCACTAGTCTACAAACCTCTCTAACAACCAGCTTACAGGGAATGAGGAAGATGTGCACAGTAACCCCACGTGGATGCCTTAGCCACTTTCAGATTGCAGGAGTTTGTACACAAGCAATGTCTCCATTTCTCTATGGCAACATGCATATGTCAGACAGAAAAGATGGAAGCAAATATGTGTAATTTATACTCTTCTACATCTAATAACCTCTCTTCTTCCCCAGATTGGCTCAGAAACTTGCTGTTTAGGTGGGGCATCATACGAAGCCAGGATGACCCACCCCCCGAGCCTGCTGCAGCAGCTCCTTTGTCAGGACCGGCCTGTGCAGCCTCACTCATGGCTCTGTCTGAGGATGATAACCTGGCCAGCCCACTTTCAGTAGGTCTCATATTGTTGTTCTGCACCCTCCTGAGGACAAGAAGGCTGAGGGTTAGCTGTCCTCCTCCTATTCTGTTTCCAAGTGGGGAAACCATTTGTCAGCCCCTGCCTTTGGCTCAGATGCTTTGTTACTATTACTTCCAGGAAGAACAATCACATTTAGATCTCGCAGAGTCTTACGTCAAACACAACAGCAGAAAATATGCTCCCATCTGTTCCACTGGTTTCAGCAAAGTTCCACATATACCTGCTCAGAGACCAGAGAGGGCTGTGTGTGTCTGAATTGCGGTGAGGCCACCTCACCCTCCCATTGTCCTTTCAGCCTCTTCCTTGAACTCTGCGCCAGTTTCAAGTGTCCGCTCATTATCTTTTCATCCAGATGACCCAGTCTCAGAACTCAGAATATTTCAGTTATTTAATTTGTATTCAAATGCTTACATGCGTCCTCTGGCATATATTTATTTTTCTATCATAAAAGAATGTGGTGAATGAAACCCACAGAACTTGGCCCATGCTGTTTCAACTTGGTATATTTCTGGTTAGTTGTCACATTTGTTAGGGTCCAGTATCTCCATGAAATCTGGGTGCAGGCATTAGTATGCTATGGTGGAAGTGCATTCACGTTTGTTACATGCGATACATTGCTCCAGACCTTGCAACATTCACAGGAGGTTTAACTAGTTGATAGGATCATTATCATCATCCAGACACCAGTAGGGTTACATACAATGAGCATGGTCAGGAAAGAAGAGCCTCAAAAAGAAAAAAAAATCCCTGCAATATCTGATTCCAACAGTCCTTTACTTAGTTAGATTTTTTTGACAGGCAGAGAGAGAGAGGCAGAGAGAAAGGTCTTCCTTTTTCTGTTGGTTCACCCCCCAAATGGCCACTATGGCCAGCGTGCCGCGGCCGGCGCACCACTCTGATCCAAAGCCAGGAGCCAGGTGTTTCTCCTGGTCTCCCATGTGGGTGCAGGGCCCAAGCACTTGGGCCATCCTCCACTGCACTCCCGGGCCACAGCAGAGAGCTGGACTGGAAGAAGAGCAACTGGGACAGAATCTGGCGCCCCGACCGGGACTAGAACCCGGTGTGCCGGTGCTGCTAGGCGGAGGATTAGCCTAGTGAGCCGTGGCGCTGGCCCAATCCTTTATTTTCTCCCCTGGGAATGAAGGTGGAGACATTGAAAATGAAAGGCTGGTGAGAAGGGAATGCGATCAGAAAAGGCATCAGGGGAGAGATGGGCTTTCAGCCTGGTTTTCAGTGAGCATGGGGACCCACGGGAAGTAGGAATGCATGACAGTCGTTAAAGTGGAGTAAACCAATGGGAAGTGACAACAAGATCTCTACTTGGGAAAGATATTTGGAAATAATGAGTAAAGCCTGCTAAAGTAGAAGAGGGATGGTCACTAGAAATTTGAAGCAGAGAAGTTTGAAAAATTGAGTCCATCAAAAAAGAAAATATGATTAAGCAAGTTGAAAATCCTTAGTGAATGGACACAGGAAGATGGAAGGGGAAAAATATATTCAGAGACCTCAAACCAAATTCCTTCATTCCTGTTAGCTCCCTCAGCACCTCCTCACATGTTCTGGATCTCTGTCTAGATGGGACCAAGGTCATGTTCTGGGCTGGTGGGTCTGAAATGCCCTGACGTTTGCTTTCCTTTTTCCTCCCCATAGGATATGCTTTCCTTTATCCATGAAAGAGGGCCACAGACAGAGGGAATCTTCAGGAAACCAGGCAGTGTAACATCCTATAGAGCACTAAAAGAAAAAATAAATGCTGGAGACACAGTGGATTGGGACAGTGAATCTGCTCTTGTGGCAGCCACTGTCTTACAGGTAGGGAGAGTTCTGGCATCATCTATGCACAATATGGAAGTTACGGGTATGGTTTCATTCTTTGTGACTGCTCAGGGGCTTAACACCCCTAATACATAAAGCATCTGAGAAGTGGAAAAGCACATCCCAAGCCCAAGTTGCAGGCAGCTACTCCATTGTGAAAAAACCCTAGATGTTAGATAAGTTTTCCTTTGCCTTCAAACTTAACACTCTGTCCTCCCCTGAACATTCTATGCATAGACATTTTCCACTGTCAGCCAACGTTTCCCTTACAACGAAGTCAACAAATGCACATGGATATAAAGAAAACTTTGTTCATTTTAATTTTCTTCCCTTGTCTCTTATGCCTTTGCTTTAAAAGCGGTATAGGAAGGTCTCCACCACTGAACTTGCCTTTACTTTTGCCACATTTGGAACACTTTGTTGATCTGAATTATGCTTAACCCAGTACTCTCAGTAATCAGCATGCAACATAAGCCTCATCTCAGAAATCTGACTCTGAAAGTGGGTGCAGAACTAAAGTTAGAATTCTGAAAATTGAATCAATGTAAAGTATAGATATGTTTCAAAAGATGCAGCAAATCACACGTATCGAGGTACATTTCTGCAAGGGGAAATAAGAGAAGGAATTGAGCCAATCCATGTTGGTATTTGTTAAAAGTTATCAAAAAATGTGGTAATGTGGAAATGACCAAATCGATCCTCAAAACTGTTAGACACCCTGTCACACTTGGTCTTTCCTTATCCCCCATTAATGTTTGGCCATATGAGAGGCAGCACTAAGTCAGTGATGGCTTATAGGTGACCAGTACTATAATACCATAACAGCATATGAGTAGATAGGTTGCCCTCTTAAGGAACATACATGAAATTGATGTCATTTTCCAGCAAGATAGAGTTACCCCTTTAAAAGTTATGTAGTCTAGTTCTTGGTAAATTGCATGTAAAATACCTGGAGGGTTGGTACAGACTGGACATAAAACTATGATCAGGACCAAATGGAATTTTTCACTGAGCTCCCTATAAGCAGAGGTCCAAGAACAAAGCCCTTTCACAGTAAGTCCCACAAATTGACTGCAGCACAGGGAAACCTGAGAGAAGACACTCATCCAAGTACGTGGCAGCCCAGGACACAAGAGACAGAGGTACTCTTGGATCTTCCCAGACTCCCGCGTCCATCCACAGCTGGAGGCTTGCTTTCTTGCACAGATTGGAGTTGTTATTCGGGGAATGGCTCTGCAAAGTCAGGTTAGAAGACGACTGGGATTTTGTCCATTTTCTTCATTGCTCTATTCCCAGTAGTCCAAACTGTACATGGCACAAACAGCTCAATAAATTTTAGAATGAACAATTGCTGTATTATCGTAATAGTTGCTGAGATGCATTTCCTATACTTCTTGCTGTTAAGTCACGGGCCCTGTAATGGAAGCAGTGGAAAGAGCTAGCAAGGTGAAGTGACACATTACCCTCAGTGTCCAAAGAATGTCAGTATCATCAATTTAATGGTAAGAGTTGTTCATCAGCCACTTAATGTGATGGCTATTCTGGGGGTACCAGTTAAGAAGGATGCCTTTGCATGCCTCTAGCCCAATACTTAAAGGCCTAAATTGGTAACTTATCTAAGTTTTCATTAAGATTCCCTTGTGTAGAAGGCATAAATATTGCAACCTAAGGGACCCTAAAGGGGAATGTTAATTACCCATTGGGAATTTGGAAATACATATTCCACTATCTTCTGATTACATGTTGAAAGAGTTGAGTATACACAGATGAAGTGAAGAATGAGATTATTGGGGCAGATTCCCCTGAGGAACACACTTGGCACTAGTCAGAAGGTCCAGTTCTCACTTTGTATGGTATAGGAGCACATGTGTTTGTATATTTAGTTCATTTGTTTCAGAAGCTTTGTTACTAAGATTTAACAGCAATTGGCCAGAAGATAAACATGCAGAGTAGTTTCTGTATTTTCAGGGAAATGATATGATTGAGGGTGATGCATACCCAGGCTCCAGTATATCAGAGTTTGCCAAAATGCACACACTGAGGACGATTCGGACAGTAATAATTTTGCTTCATGCCCAGAACTGCTGAGACTCTATTTTTATGCTTCCAGCTTTAGTCATGAGAAATTCATGCACCCATATCTGCATGTGTGCTTCAGTGGAGAATTGGAGGCCAGGCTCTGTGGAGGTCAGAGTTTATCTAGGAAGAAAGTTGGGATTAAACTGAATATTTCAATGAAACATTTTGTGATTCTTCACATATATGCTTGCCATCAAATTAATGTGATCAATTTTTTAAAATCCCTATAAGGACTTCCTGCGAACTATCCCAGGAACTGTATTTTCAGCCAACCTGTACGATCAGTGGCTTGATGTTCTTGAGGAAGAGAATGAGGAAAAAGTACCTGCTATTCAGAGGTAGTAATGTAATAATTCCTCCAGCTGTGTTTCAAATATACAACTGACAGTCTACAAAAAATACTAGTTTCTGTTTTATTTTTAAAAAGATTTACTTATTTTATTTGAAGAGCAGAGTTATAGATAGCTAGAGGCAGATCTTCCATTTGGTGGTTTACTCCCCAAATGGCTGCAATGGCTAGGACTGGGATAGGCTGAAGTGGGGAGCCTGGAGCTCCATCTGAGTCTTCCACGTGGGTGACAGGGGCCCCAGGACTTGGGCCATCCTCTGCTGCTTTCTCAGGCTCGTTAGCAGGGACCTGGATTGGAAGTTGAGCAGCCGGTGATGGGATGCCAGCATCACAGTCAGTGGCTTAGCCTGCCTTACCACAATGGTGGCCCCCTGTCTTCTGTTTTAGAGTTTTATTCACTAAAAGAAGGAAAAATATGAAAGTTTCATTGGTCACAGACATGAAAGCCAGGCTAAAATGATGTAAGCTTTACCACTGTCATTTAGGTGTGTGTGTGTGTGTTTTTTTTTTTTTTTTTTTTTTTACGATTTATTTATTTGAAAGAGTTACAGAGAGAGAGAGAGGGCGAGTGAGAGCGCGCACTTCCATCTGCTGGTTCACTCCCCAATCAGTTGCAATGGCCAGAACTGTGCTGATCTGAAGCCAGGAGCTTCATCTGGGTCTCCCACATGGGTGCAGGGGTGCAAGCACTTGGGCCATCTTCTACTGCTTTCCCAGGCCATAGCAGAGAGCTGGATCGGAAGTGAAGCAGCTGGGACTCGAACCAGCATCCATACAGCATGCCGGCGTTTCATACCAAAGCGATAACTGGCCCCTGTCATTTAGTTCTTATTTGTCTCCCAATATTATGAATATGGAGTCCTTGACCATTGTACACATTCTGAATATATAGACCTCAATATGGGAGGAAGCCCATTGGTCCAATTGATCAGTGGTCTGACCTTTATTGTCAAAGAGTTAACTAAGCTGAGAATTCTATGTGTGGTGAAGAAACTGAATTTGGTGAAACATCTTTCTGTGTGTTTGTACCCAGAATGAGTCTGTTAGATCATAGCTTTGGGCTCTTGTCACGAGACAGCATTTCTGTGCTCCTACCTTTAAAAGAAGGGCACTTCTTTCTGTTTGCTTGCTGTTTAAATTTCATCAGTAAGCTTTAATTGGAGCACACTCTGGAATGCAATAACTGTTTTTGGTGTTTAATTATGCATAAAGTTTTTCCAAGTTAAAACACATAGCTGTGGTTTTAGCAAAAATCTCTGCAGGCAATAGTTTTTAGAAATCTTGTTTATTTTGCTGTGTTTTCTTTGGGTTGTATTAATGCCATTCAACGTGCTCTGTTTCCTTTGTATAAACAACTTCCAGAGGAAAATGACTGCATTGTCTGTATTTAGGCTCTTGAATCAGCTGCCCAAAGCCAATTTTATTCTCCTGAGAGGCCTGTTTGCGTCCTTAGATAAGATTGCCCAGCATTCCTCATTCAGTCCAATGGCAGCATCAGACTTGTCACTGTGTATCGCCCCAAGAATTCTTTCCCTCTGGCGATCAACTTCCAGAAGCTCCGAACTGGAAGAGGAATTAAGGAAAAAGGTAACGAGATGCCTCACTTTTATGCCCTGTGGAGCAGGGTCCTCTTTGGAACCTGAAATTCAGGATATGAGTTTTGTTGGACCATTTTTAAAAATGAGCATTTTAATGACACTATTCTGGAGTGTCCAGGACATTTTCCCTATCTTGGGAGTTATGGAAGGGTGGTGTGTTAAGCAGGAAATGGATAGTAGGATAGCACCCATCCAGGAGAGAGAACAGTGAAATGACTAAACCGTGGAGACAGCAGGAACTCATGATCGAAAGGAACCTGAGCTTTGTAGTTGGACAAACCAAGGGGCAACCCTGGCTCTCACCATTGAGGTGAGACACTTGAGCCGGGTGTCTACACCAGCTTTGTCACAGATTGCATTTGCCTTTTTATGATAAGTGTTTTCAGATCAGTTACCCAATATGCTTGAACGTGTAACTGTTGTTTCTGAGAGAAAGCTGGCTAATTCTGAATTTTCATGTTTTTGCGATGTTAAAGTTCACATCTGATTTATGACTATACCCCCTTTCACCCTTTTGTGTCACAGATTTCACTTATACACTTTCTGATCCAAAACTACCTTGAGATATTTGAGGATGAGACTACTTCCATCTGGAGAGTGAGCTCCCTGAGTTCTCACAACAGCTTTGGAGAGAGCGCTCTGAGTGTCAGCAACCTCGGGGAGAGTAAGGACAGCTTGGGTGAGAGCCCTCTGACTTACACTCACCCTGAGGACGGGGAAGTTCTGTGTGCAAGTTCTCTGGCCTTGCTGAGAAACAAAGCCATCGGGTATCCGAGAGGATGCTTAGGCGGTGTCCGTCCTGGAGTTCAGGGCCAGTCCCAAGGATAATGTTGCACTGCTCATGACTCCACTTTCTCTGCCTTCCCAAGGCTGAAAATCCAGGAGGAGCTTCACAATGTACTGAGACCAAAATAAAGATAAGATTGTGCACCTCATAAAACTGTATCGGAGACACCATGTTCTTGTTGAGCGTGTCACCCATTTTCTAACTTAAGTAGAGCCTTTTCACTTGAGTACCTCATAGACTTTGTGGAAACAAGGAATTAAAGTATCACTCTTTCTGGTGCTAAATATTTTTAAATCAGTGTATCATTTTTTTCCTAATAATGTGGAATTTTGCATTGGCATAAAGTCATACTTTAAAATTCATTCTTCCATATATTTCTTGAAGTACTCTCATACATAACATAAATGTGTCCTGGTTCAAACTCATTTGAGAGTCTCACAACACTGCCTGTTTTATTTCCCTCCCCTTTCACATTGTAGTACTTGTGGCATCGCAGGTTTTTCAGTATTTCTCCAGTGTGAAAAGAAGCAGCATCATTGAGGACAAAAGCACTTGATTTGATGCCATCCAGTCATTCCAGAGGACATAAACCCTGTGCAATCATTGACCAGTTGTCTGATCTTTGCCAATTACTGTCAGTCTCAGGTTCCATACCTATAAAATAAGGGTAAAAGAATATCTGGATTCTAGGACTGTGTTAAGGGTTAAGGAAGATTATATGTATGAATTAATTTTTTTTAAAAAGCATGAATGTGATTAGTCAATTTCCCTGAACATAGAAACTTGTACCATTTTCAAACCTAGGTAACTGTAGGTAAGAGCCAGCCATATTCAGACCTTGGGGGCATGCATCACAGGGAGTTCCCTCCTATTTTCCATTAAGTGGTTTTATCACAATCATCTTATAGCTTGGGGAAAATCTTTTGGAAAACCCATTCATCAGGAATTGACTTGATTCCCCATATGTGAGAATATTGATAACCAAGACAACCTTGTTTTTTTTTATTTCAACAGAAACAACGGAGCATTCTCTTGAATGCCAGCCTGTAGACATGACAACGTTTAAAACAAAGGAAGGACTGATGGGTGACTCCAAGTCCATGCTTGGTATGGGCCTGCCCAGCTCCATCTTCTGTTTTCTGAGTTGCTGAAGATTAGAATCTCCATTATTACAGGGCTTTGATTTTCCTAATCTCCTTTTAACATTACACTAAGGTTTGCTTTTTCAAAAATATTTGAAAGATATTTCTCACTTTGTATGAAATCTTAAGTTTCTGTCCAAAAAGAATGAATTTCATGGTAAAGAACTGGGCATGAGGCACCTTAAAGTAAGACAACTTTTTTGTTTCCTGGTTTTTGATCACTGGTTTTCAGCAGAACACAGAATGAGCGATTTCCTAGTTACCAGCTCATCCCATTGAATCTCTCCTTTCATTCTCCTTTATCTAGGGAACTTCAGTTTGTGCAAAAGTGTTATTCAAATATTAAAAAAAAATACAACTAAAAATGGAATTTAAAATAGGAATTTATTTTGGTAAGAAAATTTAAATCCATTCATAGTACATACATTGTTTTCTCATACTATGTATTTTAATAAACTTTTCCCCATTGGCTGGCGCCACGGCTCAATAGGCTAATCCTCCGCCTTGTAGCCCTGGCACACCGGGTTCTAGTCCAGGTCAGGATGCCGGATTCTGTCCTGGTTGCCCCTCTTGCAGGCCAGCTCTCTGCTGTGGCCAGGGAGTGCAGTGGAGGATGGCCCAGGTCCTTGGGCCCTGCACCCCATGGGAGACCAGGATAAGTACCAGGCTCCTGCCATCGGATCAGCGTGGTGTGCCAGCCGCAGCGCGGCAGACATTGGAGGGTGAACCAACGGCAAAGGAAGAGCTTTCTCTCTCTCTCTTTCTCTCACTGTCCACTCTGCCTGTCAAAAAAAAAGAAAACTTTTCCCCACAAAGTCTGAAAAAAATCCATGAACTATATATATGAGGAACAGATTTCAAGCTTTTTTGTGGCAATATCAGAAGTAGAAATGAATCTCAGAATATTTATATTAAGACAACATTCAGATCTCCCTTCAACAGATAAAATGGAACAACCACTGTAGTTGCATCCAGTGCCAAGCTTAGTGGCTCATCACAAGGCCAGTGTGGGGGATGGCATCAAACTCACAATTGGAATGGTCCCACCCAGATTTCTGTTCAGAATCTGCATAATTATGATTTATGTTATTATTCCACTTCCTTTAACAATACACTAAGAACTTCTTTTTCATAAAGGTTGCAAGATTGTTCTCAGTTTGGATGAAATCTGCAATTTCTGTCCAGAAGGAACTGAATTTCTTGGTAGAGAATTGGACACAAGGTTCTATAAATTAAGACAACGTTGTGGCCGGCGCCGCGGCTCACTAGGCTAATCCTCCGCCTTGCGGCGCCGGCACACCGGGTTCTAGTCCCGGTCGGGGCGCCGGATTCTGTCCCGGTTGCCCCTCTTCCAGGCCAGCCCTCTGCTGTGGCCAGGGAGTGCAGTGGAGGATGGCCCAGGTGCTTGGGCCCTGCACCCCATGGGAGACCAGGATAAGCACCTGGCTCCTGGCTCCTGCCATCGGATCAGCGCGGTGCGCCGGCCGCAGCGCGCCGGCCGCGGCGGCCATTGGAGGGTGAACCAACGGCAAAGGAAGACCTTTCTCTCTGTCTCTCTCTCTCACTGTCCACTCTGCCTGTCAAAAAAAAAAAAAAAAAAGACACGTTGTAAGCTTCATGATCTCCAATGATTGCTTCCCAGTTGAACACTGAGTGCTTTCCAAGTTTCCAGCTGATTCCATTCATCTTACTTTTTCCTTCCATTTATCAAAAGGGGCTTCAAATATTTCATGCAATGATGGTATAAAGTTAACAATAAAATTGTAAATATGGAATTAAAAATATCAATTTTGGTCAAAAATTTTTAAATTCAAGTTTAGTTATTATATATAGTTTGATAATATTTTCCCATGAAGTTTGAAAAAAAATTACAAAGATACGTGTTATGAAGAAACAATGCATGGATTTAATTTTTTGTACCAATATCAGAAGTTGAACTGAGTCTGGAACCTGAGAATATACTAAGACAACTTCTTGTTTTTCTTTTGCTAGAGAAAATGTAGCAACCTCTGGGGTCCCACCCAGTGCCAGGCACAGTGACTGATGAGAAGGCACAAGTCAGGGAAGATGGCCACCCGTGCTATGGGCCCGCCCTGCTGTCTTCTATTTTCTAATTTCCATAAATTTGCATCTCCATTCCACTTTGGATTTCCTTTTCCTTCGCTTCCTTTATCAGTATGCTGAAGACTGTTTTCTCATAATGTCTGCAGGCTTTCTCTGAGTTTGAATTATGTCTTCACATTCCATCCAGTAACAACCGAATTTCTGACAAAGGGATGATCATGGGACTCATTCCACTGAGATAAACCACTTTTGATCATGATTTCAGGTCATTGGTCTTCAGTTCATCACTAACTTTTCAGGCATGATTGTGAAAGTGGAACCTTCTGAGAAGTCAGTGGTGGTTTCTAAAGTTTCTGCTGTCGCTAGTCCGTTCTCTTCCACTAGGGCATGAGCCACAATATACCATCCACAGATTGTATATTGTTGCAGCCTTCATCATCAACATCATGCTGTCACTTCTCAAAAGGAGTTGTCAGTTCACCAGCTTTCACACATGCTTCAACATAAACTGGATGTTAGTGCTTCAATATTAGCCAGATAAAGATATCTTATACTTCCAAGTGTTTCAAACTATTCTGTTGAGACAAATTATAATACATTAGTTTAAGTTTATTATGGTGCAACACAGCTTACAAAAATATAATTCATCTAAAAATATGCCTACATTTTAAAATGTTTTCATGAAACTAAAGTTGTTTGAGTTACATTTCCACTAACTTTTGGAACTTCCTTAGACATATCTGAGAAAACTTGTCCACAAAATACCTATTTGATCTTACCTTTCTGTTTATACCATAACATATTTTTTGTTATATTTGTCTATCAGGGTAAATCTTAGCTCCTTGGTTGACTTCTACAGTATTTTATATAAGAGAATGATTTGAGAAAATGTTAAGATACCTTATTGAGAAGGCCTGCATAGCTGAGTGGTAGTTACTTTGAAACCAGCTGATTATTGCTGATCACCTTTACTTGGAAAACAACTCTTGATCAGAATTCATCTGGCAGGTGTTGCTGAGCAGTTAGAAATCATTTTGGTCCACTTGGTTGGATGTCAGATGGCCATAGAGGATCATTCCACACAACCAAGGAGACCAACTGGAGAAGTGGAATCAGGTCATCCATCAAAGTGCCTGAAGTTGCCAACCCCCCCGAGTGAGGGCCCAAAGTATGGCTCTGAGTTGGGCTCAGGCAGCTTGTATGGGGTTGGGCAAATTTCTGTGAGGGAGACAACTGGCTGTGGTTGGACATTCCCATTGCCAAACAGGAAATCTCAGTATGGGAGGAATCTGACTATGGAAGGAGATGATCAACTTCCAATTGATTGGCATACCAACTTTAGCCTTTCCAACATTGAACATGCTGTTCCTGTTAATCAGGAAACTTGTACCTCTACAAGTTTAAAACCTCATGACACAATGCAACACGATGTAGCTAGCCCTATATCTAGTGAGTATTCCCACTGAGGAATTTTACATGATATATTCAACCTAGATTTTACTACCGGTTTCTAGGAGATGAGGAAGCACAGAACCCATTCACACCACAAGGGGGCCATGAGCCAATTTCAGAATGTAGACATTTCTATACAATGAATGATATAGTTTCTTTCTAGCCTCTTCAACACACATGTTATAACCTGAAAATTTTGAAAATGAACATCTGTGAATTCAACTCTATGTGTAATCATTACACTTCTTCCTCAGATCCTCACGTGAAGCCAACTCAAAGAGGGCATTCTCGTAGAAAGTGGCTGTTTTGGCAGGGCCATTACAGAAGATTGGACAACCTGACCCAAGAGCCTGCCCAGCCCACACCCCAACCAGTTCAGCTCTTCGGATCTCTCATTCAAGATGTTTGTGAGAATGACAACCTGCCAAAAACTCTTGTGGTAGGTCTCATTTTACTTTTGTTTTAAAAAAGATTTTATTTTAAAGGCAGAATGAGAGAGAGAGAGAGAGAGATGTTCCATCTGCTGGTTCACTCCCCCAAACAACTGCAGTGGCTGGGGCTGAGCCAGGCCAAATCCAGCATCCAGGAGCTTCTTTCAGGTCCCTCACATGGGTGGATCGTTCTCTCCCTTTTTTATTCTATCAGTATTAGCAGACACTAGTCTTGCTTATGTGATCCCTTTGACTCTTAGACCTATCATTATGATAAACTGTGAAAAGAAATTGATTACTTGGACTAGTGAGATGGCATTGGTACATGCCACCTTGATGGGATTGAATTGGAATCCCTGGCACGTTTCTAACTCTACCATTTGGGGCAAGTCCGACTGAGCATGTCCCAAATTGTACATCTCTTCCCTCTCTTATTCCCACTCTTATATTTAACAGGGATCACTTTTCAGTTAAATTTAAACACCTAAGAATAATTGTGTATTAATTACAGAGTTCAACCAACAGTATTAAGTAGAAAAAAATACTTAAAGGGATAAAGTATTAAGTTGTTCATCAACAGTCAGGGCTATGCTGATCAAGTCACTGTTTCTTATAGCGTCCATTTCACTTCAACAGGTTTCCTTTTAGGTGCTTGGTTAGTTGTCACCGATCAGGGAGAACATATGATATTTGTCCCTTTGGGACTGGCTTATTTCACTCAGCATGATGTGTTCCAGATTACTCCATTTTGTCGCAAATGACCGGATTTCATTGTTTTTGACTGCTGTATAGTATTCTATAGAGTACATGTCCCATAATTTCTTTATCCAGTCTACTGTTGATGGGCATTTGGGTTGAGCTGCAATAAACATTAATGTGCAGACAGCTTGTTTGTTTGCCAATTTAATTTGCTTTGGGTAAATTCCAAGGAGTGGGATGGCTGGGTCGAACGGTAGGGTTATCTTCAGGTTTCTGAGGGATCTCCAGACTGACTTCCATAGTGGCTTAACCAGTTTGCATTCCCACCAACAGTGGGTTAGTGTCCCTTTTCCCCCACATCCTTGCCAGCATCTGTTGTTGGTAGATTTCTGTATGTGAGCCATTCTAACCGGGGTGAGGTGAAACCTCATTGTGGTTTTGATTTGCATTTCCCTGATTGCTAGTGACCTTGAACATTTTTTCATGTGCCTGTTGGCCATTTGGATTTCCTCTTTTGAAAAATGTCTATTAAGGTCCTTGGCCTATCTCTTAAGTGGGTTGTATGTTTTGTTGTTGTGGAGTTTCTTGATCTTTTGTAGATTTCTGGTTATCAACCCTTTATCTGTTACATAGTTTGCAAATATCTTTTCCCATTCTGTTGGTTGCCTCTTCACTTTCCTGACTGTTTCTTTTGCAGTACAGAAACTTCTCAATTTGATGCAATCCCAAATGTTAATTTTGTCTTTGACTGCCTGTGCTTCTGAGGTCTTTTCCAAGAAGTCTTTGCCGGTGCCAATATCTTGCAGGGTTTCTCCAATGTTCTCTAATACTTTGAGGGTGACAGGTCGTAGATTTAGGTCTTTAATCCATGTTGAGTGGATTTTTGTGTAAGGTGTAAGGTAGGGGTCTTGCTTCATGCTTCTGCACATGGAAATCCAATTTTCCCAGCTCCGTTTACTGAATAGACTGTCCTTGCTCCAGGAATTGGTTGAGGATTTTTGTGTCTATTTTCTTCAGGTATATTGGTCTGTAATTTTCTTACAATGCTGGATCTTTCTCCAGCTTAGGGATTAAGGTGATGCTGGCTTCATAGAAAGAATTTGGGAGGATTCACTCTTTTTTGATTGTTCTGAATAGTTAGAGAAGAATTGGAGTTAGTGCTTCTTTAAATGTCTGGTAGTATTCAGCAGTGAATCCATCTGATCCTGGGCTTTTCTTTGTTGGGAGGGCCTTTATTACTGTTTCAATTTCTGTCTCAGTTATGGGTCTGTTTAGGTTTTCTATGTGTTCCTGGTTCAATTTAGGTAGATTGCGTGTGTCCAGGAATCTATCCATTTCTGATAGATTTCCCTGTTTGCTGGCATACAACACTTTGTAGTAATTTCTGATGATTCTTTTTATTTCTGTGGTGTCTGTTGTTACATTTTATTTTTCATCTCTGATTTTATTGATTTGGGTCTCTTCTTTTTTTAGTTAATTGGGTCAACTGTGTGTCAATTTTATTCTTTTTTTTTTTTCTAAAAAACCAGCCTCTTGTTTGGCTGATTTTTTGAAATTTTTTTATTCAATCCTGTTGATTTCTTCTCCGATTTTAATTATTTCTCTTCTCGCTGGCACTGTGGTTATATAGGCTAATCCTCCGCCTTGCAGCACTGGCATCCCAGGTTCTAGTCCCGGTTGGGGTGCCAGATTCTGTCCCGGTTGCCCCTCTTCCAGGCAAGCTCTCTGTTGTGGCCATGGAGTGCAGTGGAGGATGGCCCAAGTTCTTGGGCCCTGAACCCCATGGGAGACCAGGAGAAGCACCTGGCTCCTGCCTTTGGATCAGTGCAGTGTGCTAGCCGTGGTGGCCATTGGAGGGTGAACCAACGGCAAAGGAAGACCTTTCTCTCTGTCTCTCTCACTATCCATTCTGCCTGTCAAAAAAAATTATTTCTCTTCTCCTACTAGATTTGGGTCTGGTTTGCTTCAGTCTTTCTATATCCTTTAATGCATTGAAAGCTCCTTTATTTAGTGCCTTTCCAATTTCTTGATGTAGGCACCTATTGCTATAAACTTTCCTCTCAACACTGCTTTTATGATATGTTGTGTTGTTATCCTCATTTACTTCAAGATTGTTTTTGATTTTTCCTGTGACACAGTGTTCATTCAGGAGCATGTTGTTCAGTCTCCATGTGTTTCCATACTCCCTAGAGATTCCTGAGTTGCTAATTTCCAACTTCATTCTGCTGTGGTCTGAGAAGCTGCATGATATGATTCTAATTCTTTTGAATTTGCTGAGACTTGCTTTATGGCCTAGTATGTGGTCGATCCTAGAGAAGGTTCCATGTACTGCTGAGAAGAATGTAAATTCTTTAACTGTAGGATGAAAAGTTCTGTAGATATCTGTTAGATCCATTTGGGCAATAGTGTCGATTAACTCTGCTGTTCCCTTGTTGATATTCTGTCCAATTGATATGTCTATTTCTGAGAGTGGAGTATTGAAATACCCCAGTACTATTGTATTGGGATCTAAGTCTCCCTTTAAGTCCCTTAACATATCTTTTAAATAAACCGGTGCCCTGTAATTAGGTGCATATACATTTTTTTTTATCTTTTATTTAATGAATATAAATTTCCAAAGTACGACTCATGTGTTACAATGGCTTCCCCCCCATACCGTCCCTCCCACCCACAACCCTCCCCTTTCCCACTCCCTCTCCCCTTCCATTCACATCAAGATTCATTTTCGATTATCTTAATATACAGAAGATCAGCTTAGTATACATTAAGTAAGGATTTCAACAGTTTGCTCCCACACAGAAACATAAAGTGAAAAATAGATGATTTTTTTAAATGATGATGAAATCAGATCAGACCTATTGTCATGTTTAATCCCAGTGAGAGTCAAGTTGGGAGTTGATAATTTTTTTTTTTTTTACAGAGGATCAGTTTAGTATACATTAAGTAAAGATTTCAACAGTTTGCACCCCCATAGAAACACAAAGTGAAATATATTGTTTGAGTACTCGTTATAGCATTAAATCTCAATACACAGCACATTAAGGACAGAGATCCTACATGAGGAGTAAGTGCACAGTGACTCCTGTTGTTGACTTTACCAATTGACACTCCTATCTATGGCATCAGTAGTCTCCCTATGCTCCAGTCATGAGTTTCCAAGGCTATGGAAGCCCTCTGAGTTCTCCGATTCTTATCTTGTTTAGACAAGGTCATAGTCAAAGTGGAGGTTCTCTCCTCCCTTCAGAGAAAGGCACCTCCCTCTTTGAAGACCTGTTCTTTCCACTGGGATCTCACTCGCAGAGATCTTTTGCCAGAGTGTCTTGGCTTTCCATGCCTGAAGTACTCTCATGGGCTTTTCAGCCAGATCCGAGTGCCTTTAGGGCTGATTCTGAGGCCAGAGTGCTATTTAGGACATCCGCCATTCTATGAGTCTGCTGAGTATCTCACTTCCCATGTTGGATCACTCTCCCCTTTATTTATTCTATCGGTTGGTGTTAGCAGATACTAGACTTGTTTATGTGCTCCCTTTGACTCTTAGTCCTTTCATTATGATCAATTGTGAACTGAAATTGATCACTTGGACTAGTGAGATGGCATTGGCACATGCCACCTTGATGGGATTGAATTGGAATCCCCTGGTATGTTTCCAACTCTACCAATTGGGGCAAGTCAGCCCGAGCATGTCCCAAATTATACCTCTCTTCCCTCTCTTATTCCCACTCTTATGTTTAACAGGGATCACATTTCAGTTAATTTTCAACACTTAAGAATAACTGTGTGATAATTACAGAATTAAACCAGTCATATTAAGTAGAACAGACAAAAAAAAATACTATGAGGGATAATGTATTAAGTTGTCCATTAGCAGTCAGGGCTATGCTGATCAAGTCACCGTTTCCCATAGTGTCCATTTCACTTCAGGAGGTTTCCTTTTTGGTGTTCAGTCAGTTGTCACCGATCAGGGAGAACATATGGTATTTGTCCCTTTGGGACTGGCTTACTTCACTCAGCATGATGTGTTCCAGATTCCTCCATTTTGTTGCAAATGACTGGATTTCGTTGTTTCTTACTGCGGTATAGTATTCTAAAGAATACATATCCCATAATTTCTTTATCCAGTCTACCGTTGATGGGCATTTAGGTTGGTTCCAGGTCTTGGCTATTGTGAATTGTGCTGCAATAAACATTAGGGTGCAGACCACTTTTTTGCTTATCAATTTAAACTCCTTTGGGTAAATTCCAAGGAGTGGGATGGCTGGGTCGAAAGGTAGGGTTATATTCAGGTTTCTGAGGAATCTCCAGACTGATTTCCATAGTGGCTTGACCAGTTTGCATTCCCACCAACAGTGGGTTAGTGTCCCTTTTTCCCCACATCCTCGCCAGCATCTGTTGTTGGTAGATTTCTGTATGTGAGCCATTCTAACCGGGGTGAGGTGAAACCTCATTGTGCTTTTGATTTGCATTTCCCTGATTGCTAGTGACCTTGAACATTTTTTCATGTGCCTGTTGGCCATTTGGATTTCCTCTTTTGAAAAATGTCTATTGAAGTCCTTGGCCCATCTCTTAAGTGGGTTGTTGGTTTTGTTTTTGTGGAGTTTCTTGATCTCTTTGTAGATTCTGGTTATTAACCCTTTATCTGTTGCATAGTTTGCAAATATTTTTTCCCATTCTGTCGGTTGTCTCTTCACTCTCCTGACTGTTTCTTTTGCAGTACAGAAACTTCTCAATTTGATGCAATCCCAATAGTTGATTTTGGCTTTGACTGTCTGTGCCTCCCGGGTCTTTTCCAGAAATTCTTTGCCTGTGCCAATATCTTGAAGGGTTTCTCCAATGTTCTCTAATAACTTAATGGTGTCAGGACGTAGATTTAGGTCTTTAATCCACGTTGAGTGGATTTTTGTGTAAGGTGTAAGGTAGGGGTCTTGCTTCATGCTTCTGCACGTGGAAATCCAGTTTTCCCAGCACCATTTATTGAATAGACTGTCCTTGCTCCAGGAATTAGTTTTAGATCCTTGATCAAATATAAGTTGGCTGTAGATGTTTGGGTTGATTTCTGGTGTTTCAATTCTGTTCCATTGGTCTATCCATCTGTTTCTGTACCAGTACCATGCTGTTTTGATTACAACTGCCCTGTAGTAAGGTGCATATACATTTATAATAGTTACATATTCCTGTTGAATTGAACCCTTAATCATTATATAGTGTCCCTCTTTGTCTCTCTTAACAGATTTTGTGTTAAAGTTTAATTGTCTGATATTAAGATGGGTACACCTTGGCCATGGAATATCTTTCCAACCTTTCACTTTCAGTCTGCATGCATCTTTTTAGAATGATGTGTTTCTTGTAGGCAGCAAATAGATGGGTTTTGTTCCTTAATCCATTCAGCCAGTCTGTGTCTTTTAACTGGAGAGTTGAGGCCATTAACGTTCAGTGTGACTTTTGATAAGTAGTAACTTTGCCCTGCGATTTTCCCAAAGATATTTTCTAGTATATGCTTTGAGCTTCCTGTGACCTTTTACTGGGAGGTTTTCTTCCTTTACCTTCTTTCATATTGATTGCTGTGTTTCTATGTTTCTGTGTGTAGCACATCTTTAAGCATCTTTTGCAGGGCTGGATGAGTGGTGGCAAATTCTTTCAATTTCTGTTTGCTATGAAAGGTCTTTATTTCACCTTCATTCACAAATGAGAGCTTTGCAGGTTATAATATTCTGGGCTGGCAGTTTTTCTCTCTCAGTGCCTGGGCTATGTCACGCCATTCCCTCCTAGCCTGTAGGGTTTCTGATGAGAAGTCTGCTGTGAGTCTAATTGGAGATCCTCTGAGAGTAATCTGACGTTTCTCTCTTGCACATTTTAGGATCTTTTATGTTTCACTGTGGTGAGTTTAATTACAATGTGTCATGGTGAGGATCTCTTTTGGTCATGTTAATTAGGGGTTCTATGAGCTTCCTGTACTAGGATTTCTCTGTCCTCCAAACCAGGGAAGATCTCTGCTAGTATCTCACTTAAAGGCCTTCTAATCCTTTCTCTCTCTCCATACCTTCAGAAACTCCTAGAACCCGAATGTTGGGTTTTTTAATAGTATCCTGTATATTCCCGATAATATTTTTTAGATTTCTAATTTCCTCTTCTTTCTTTGGTTTGACTGTATACTTTCCTGTGCTCTGTCTTCTAAGTCCAATATTCACTCATTCTGTTTTTAAGGCTCTCTAATGTGTTTGTCATTTGATCTATTGAATTCTTCATTTCATTGATTTCTCTTCACTATCACAGTTTCATGTTCCACTAGTTCCTTCATTTCATTTTGATTCCTCCGTAGGATTTCATTTTCAGGAGAGAGGTTTTCTATCCTGTCCAGTAAGGATTTCTGTAATTCAAGTATTTGTTTTTGTGAACTTCTTGATGTTCTTATCAATTTTTTGAGATCCGTTTCTTGCATTTCTTCTATCTCATTATCTTCATAATCTTGAATTGTGGTGTCTTTTTCATTTGGGGATGTCATAGTGTCTTCCTTGCTCTTGTTTCCTTCGTTTCTGTGATTTTTGCTTGGCATTGTGGAGATATTCTTTGGTTTCTTCGCTGTAGTGGTTTTTCTTATTGTAGTATGACTCTAGATTAAGTGGACTGTCTGCTTTTGATGGATCCTTAGAGTCATGTTATGGGTGTGGCCAGAGAGCTCTGTTTGGTTCTTCAGGGTTAAGGGTGTGCCAAAAGTGACTCACCAGGTTTTTCTCTCTCATGCATGTGCTCTGATTTGCTCTTTTTTTTTTTTTAACTCAGAAGGGAAGTAATTCTGCACAGCTGAGTGGAATTGTGGGTAGTCAATGTATGAAATCTGGCCCCTGTGGGTATAATATTTGTCTTCTCTGCCCCAAGAACCACACAAAGGGTCTATGCAGTCCTCTGTGAGATCTCAAATTTCCCTGCAGTCTCCCACCGGGTTGCCAAGGTTACTGAGTTTGTGTACTCCATGAGTTCTCTCGCCCACCCTCAGATTTTCACAGTCTGAGTTCCTTAGCTCCACACCTTCACTAGGTCCTAACCTCCTGTTATTTCTCCCCACCAGAGCCAGGTTTTTCTGCTTGGTTAATGGCGGGCACCACTTTATGTATGTCCAAAATGGCGCCTGCTCTTTGTCTTGCCTGCCTTTGTAAGGTGAGTGGAGAGAGAGGCTCATGTCCATGCTGGTCCCTTTTATTTATTTTTTTCTCTCCTCTAGTTAGCCTGGTGAACTTTCCCCAGTGGGGCTTCAAGACTCCCTCTAGGCTCTTTCTGCCATTTCCCCACCAATGTCTCGGGCTACAAAGGTTTCACCTCACCTACCCTTCCAGTGCTGGTGCGTAGACTCCATGGCTGGGCTCCCGAGCTGTGGGTGTCCTTGCTCTCCTTGTAGGTCCTCCATGTCACATCCACTAGATCTAGAAGTGTTTCCTCTTTAATTTTTTTCCCGAGCCTTTCCCCAAAACTACAGTAACTCCACTTTTATTAAACTATCTTTTCCTGGACTATCAGTGCGCGCCCTCACTCTTCTACCATTTTGGCTCTCCACAGGCCATTTTGTTTTCCTAGAGCCCAACTTTGTGACTGAACTTCTAGGGGTCAAATCTCCTCATCCAGAACTGTTCCAAGTTGAGAAATCTTTAGATAGCCATCAGCTTTGGCCGAGAAACTTTGTTCACATCGCTGCAATGACCAAAGTCCCGTTTAGGTACTGTAGTGTGATAAAGCAAACACAACAGGAAGCACATACTGTCATCTTTGGTTTCAGCAAAGATTCCCATACATCTTTAGGGAGAAATTGTTATGGGCTCTGTTTGTCTGAATCTCTGTGAGTCTGCTCCCCCCTTTATCATCTTCAGAACTTGACCCTCCACTAATTTCAAGACTCCGTTTCCTCTTCATCTAGCCTTCTCAGTGTTACCATTAAACATATCACAAGTATTTCACTTGTCTCTCCAGGACTTCAACATAAAATTTATCCTCTTGATTGTTATCCTTTACATCCTAACAGAACTTGTTAATGAAAGCTACAGATTGAGCCTTTATCACTGAACACTGGTGTAATGTATATTCAGTGGTACTTTTATTGAGAGTCTAGAATGCCATCAAGCTCACTTCTTGATATAGGGAGCTTTAAGCTAGAGGTGAAGAAATTCATCATGTTAGGTACGTGGTAGATATTGCACTGGAACTTAGATCATTCACAGTGTATGTACAAGGAGTCTGTGAGTATCCTCACCCACTCCTCACCACATTAAAAAAGGAGACTTAGTAATGCTTTTCATTGTGGCTGAGACCACTGAGGAATGAAGTGGCCTACTTGATTGAAATGCCTTCGGGTACCCGACTCTTACCTATTCTCCTTTTGCACTGGAAGTGTAAATAGCACAGTGGGAAATGAAAAACCTGTGAGAATAGAACAATCGGACAAGATTTCAGAGAGGAGACAGGTTAGGTTCCAATCTGGTTTTAAAAGGAAATTGTGATATTGTGATTCTAACAGAAAGAAATGGGATATGTCGTCACTCACTAAAGGGGAATAAACAAATGGAATATAGGTCTAGCAATCAGATGTCCACACGTGGGGATAATCATTGATATTTTGTGAGAATGAGTACAGAATGGTCACTCATAAGAGGGTGATTTCATAGAGGCCTTGAAACAGAGAAATTGGATTTAAAAGTGTAGATTCACTGGTAAGGATGATACTGTTAAACTGAGTACTTAAGATGTTTCATTGAATGGATATGGAGTGACTGATTGGTACCAAATGCATTCAGAGACACCCAAATGAAATCTTCATAGTTGGTTTCATTCCATTTCCTCTAGATCTGTAACCTTGCATGCTCTAGCTGCATTTTGTAATGGGGGCATACTTGTGCTCTGTTCTTATGAAATGTTGTGTAATTTTATGTACTTTATTTTACCCACAGGATATGCTTTTTTTAATTGATCAGAAAGGTCCACGCACAGAGGGCATATTCAGGAAACGTGGCAATTGGAAATCATGTGTAGCCCTAAAGGAGAAACTGAATTCTGGGCACCAGGTGGACTGGAAGAGACAATCTGCTTTTGTTGTTGCAACTACCTTAATGGTAGGAAAAATTTTAGCATCATCTGTGCACCATGTTGATGCCATGTTGATTTCCTTCATGATAATTGCTCAAGAATTGCTTCTCGGCCTTCTTGCTAAGATCAAGTGTGATAATTGCCCAAGAACAATAATTGGCCTAAGGCATTACAATTCTGAAAAACTAATCACAAAGTACACACTGAAGACAGCTATTGCCTTGGTTGTTCAAACCCTATTGGTTGCATATATGTTCCTTCATCATCACAGATGATTCTCTCCTTCAGCCTCAAAGTGGAGCAGCCAGAACTCGAACTGGTGCCTGTATGGGATGCTGACACTGCAGGCAGAGGCTTACCCTGCTACTCCACACCACTGGCCCCTAAATGGACCAGTTTTCAGCTTATCCATAGACATGATGTTAAGTATTTGATAACATATGCAAGAACCTTCTTAGAGCTGAGACCGTGATCAGAATTTTCTCCCAGGAAGCACAGTCAACACAGCTCAAGTCAGAAGTCCACATTTTCATATTCCCTGTGTACGTGTGTGCGTGCAGAAGTGTGGCTACTTGTGTCATTTAAGAGCAAACATTTCTGCTGAAAATTAAAAGCAATAGTCCTTAAATAAACAGGGATATTTCTTATATATGCTTATTTCCTGTCAAGAAAATAGGGGGTAAGGATGATTCCTCAGCAGATCCAGTGTTTGTAAAATGTACGCAGGAGAGGAAGTACCAGGTGATGGGAGGAGACTTTGTTCCCACCACTACTTAGACCCTGCATTCCTCTTCTCATTTTGCTTAGAGAAAATCCCAGCATGTGCTTCTCCTTGATCAAGTCAGTTAAGAGTTGTAGGTAAGCTCTGTGTACTCAGTTTTGGTGGCTGTGAAGAAATTGGGGACTAAGCTCAACGCTTCAATTAAAAGTTCTTTTTTTGTAGGTCATTAAATGAATGTTCTCCATGAGAATAATGTGTTTTTTTTTTCTATCTATATAAGGATTTTCTTCAAAACATCCCTGCAAGCCTGTTTACTGGTTCCCTCTATGATAACTGGCTTCATGTTCTGGATGAAGGAGATGAGGAGGCTAAAATAGCAGCGATTCGGAGGTGCTGATGCCATGATCACTCTGGGCGGGTCTAAAAATAAAAATAACAACATTCTCTTAAAGATCAGCTTCTATTTTACCGTTTTATCTCCTAATATCATGATCTATTTCAAAATATTTCTTTTGGTCACACAGATGGAGGCCAGCTTAGAAGGAGATGCCAGTCTTGCCCTTTCATTGAGTTCTTGTTTTTATCCTAACATTACTACAGAGTCCTTGAAACTTTTTAAATGTTTTAAAAATTTTTAATTCGTTAACAGATTCAATGTGATTCACACATATAATTCTAAGAACTTGACATTCGCTTCCTTTCTCCCTCTCTCCCTTTCTCCCTTCCACTCTTCTTCCTTCTCCTTTCATTTTTTTAGTTTCTGAGATAACATTTTAAATTTACATTACAATAAAATGCTTAATACTTCACCAAATAAGAATATTAAGAAGTAAAAAGCAAAAAAAAAAACACAGTTTGGTGGAATATAGACAATGGCTATAAACAATAATTGAATGGAAATTGACCATTTTACTCATGTACAGTAAATTTTAAAGTAATCACAGATCATTAAACTATGGTAGTATAACATTCTTAACGTTGATCTGACAAAGGTATGAAAGTTTTTTGTAAATATTTGCAGCAATACTGATACATCTCTTTACTTTTTCTTTTTTTCTTTTTTTCATTTGTTTTAAAAATCTTAGCTTCCACATATAAGGGAGAACGTGTGGTATTTGTCTTTCTATGTCTGGTTTATGTCTCCTAACATGTCCTCCAGTTGTGTCTGTTTTGCTGCAAATGGTAGAAATTTCATTCATTCTTTTTTTATAGCTAAATAATATTCCATTATGTATATATGCCACATTTTCTTTATTCATCTGATGATGGACACTTTGGTTGATTCCAAATTTTGGCTATTGTTGACACTTTTAAAAAAAATTTACTTATGTATTTTTAAAATTAGAGTTAGAGAGGGAGAGAAAGAGAAATCTTCCATGAACTGGTTTGCTTCCCAGATGGCTGCAATAGCAAGCATTGGGCCAGGCTGAAGCCAGGTGCCAGGAGCTTTATCTGGGTCTCCCATGTGGGTGCAGGGACCCAAACACTTGGGCCATCTTTTGCTGTTTTTCCCAGGGCATTAGCAGGGAGCTGGATCAGAAATGTAGCAGCTGGGACACGAGCCAGCACTGTTGTTAGATGCTGGTGTCACAGGCAGCATCTTTACCCACTATGCCACAACACCAGCCCCAAGTCTGTGACACTTGTATATACAACCTGAATATATGACATTGATATAAGAGGAAATCTATTGGTTCAAGACGGGTGCTAGAGGAACAACTGAATAGGCACCTTTGTGTAACATTTAGCCAGAGAATTCTGTAGGTGGTTCAGGAATTGAATTCAATGACACACCTTTGCATGCATTCAGACCTAAAAGAAATATATTAGATAATTGATAATCTTTGCCAAAGGCAGTATCTTGTGTTACTATTATAAATAAGCAAAGGAATCCTTTCTATTTAATTTCTGTTTATAGTCATCAAGAGGCTTTCAGGGGCAATTGTGGAATATAACCAATGTTTTCCAAGTTGCTTCTATAAAATTAGATGTTAATAATATTTGCCCAATTTAAAACATGATGTTGTAGGTTTACTGGAATATTGCAGCAAATGTTTTGAAGACATACTGCCGCATATTCCAGCATTGTGATGTTGTGTCAATGGCACGCAAAGCATTCTGCTCCTTTTCTCTGTAAATGGAGTTGAATTTTTGCTTCAAGAGTGCACTTTTCTGTGTTTAGACTTTTAAACCTGCTGCCAAAACCCAACGTTAATCTCCTACGATCCCTGTTTGGATCCTTATTCAAGATTGCGCAACATTCATCATCCTTTCAGAAGACAAGTTTTGACCTGTCGTTGTGTATAGCAGCAAGCCTTCTTTGGCCACCTATTCCCAATAGTGCAGAACGAAACACAGAATGGCAGAGAAAGGTAATTACATAGCTTGTTTTTATGTATCCGAAGTTCAGTATATTAATTAAGATGGGTCATTTTGAAGTGCACACTGTAGACACCCCTCTGCAGGGACAGTAATTCCTCCTTCTAGAATTAGTGGGAGGGTGGGGTATTAAGCACACCTTGAGAGCACTGACTCACTCTCCCTGTCCAAGAGTCCAAACACCAGATTAAAGATATGATACAGAAAGAAAAAAGTCATGTGGTGTAATAGAAACAAACCTGGGCTTTGGTGTTAGACAAAACAAGGTTCAACTCTGGGTGTTACCACTGGGGGCTGTGTGACCCTGAGCACTGTTTCCTGGCCAAGTTTCCTCATCTATGTAATGGCAGTAATTACAGTGATAGAAGAACTGGATGACTTTGCCTGAGTGGCCTGCTGTAGTATGGGTGCACCCATTACTTTGCTCTGGTAATTTTTGGTCCAGTTTCCTCTGCTGGCAGAACATAAAAATGAGTCAAAGATTCCAGAAGATCCCAGTGGAGTGACAACATGACAAACTGGACCTCTGTTCTTTGCCAGGCTTATCCAGAAAGTAAGGTAGAAGGCTGAGGTGAGGTGGGGCAGTGCACAAGGAGGGACTGCACTTGAACAAGCGGACGTTTTCTCCCCCAGCTGCCTGCTTTCTTACCCATAGAAAAGACTGAGAATCTCTGCTTTTGGATTCTTGCCCGACAAGCTGAATTTCCCAAGCATGTGTCTTTTGGTTGCTTTACAGATTTTATAATGCCACTGCCATTTTCCATCCCAAACCTTGTAATTGAAAATGTCATATCTGTAAATATGTCTTCATTGATTAAAAATGCCCACAATAAGAAAATTGCAAACTGAAAATGTTAGTCCATGGATTAGAAGAATTTAAAGATCTATGCCCCCAAACTCTCACAACAGGCATCATTTCACAGAGAAAATGGGTTCATATATCTTTCATGTGAATACTGAATTTTCCTGAAATTCTGAATTCCACATTTTGTTAGGTCAACAACGCATATATGAAGTGTGGTTTCTAATGGTGCCAAGTATAAAAGGTACATTCTATATTGACCCTTGTGTTACAGGTTGGTCTTGTGCAATTTTTGATTGAACATTGCTTCAGGATTTTTGGAAAAGATGTTACCTCCCCCATAAGAGAAAATGCAGCGCATCAGGACAACTGCCAAGGAGCTTCAGGTACCCTGAAACATTTAACTTCCTTTGATAAGAAAGTGACAGAAACAGTGCCAGGTTCATGAGCAAAACTGAGGGTCTGCTTTGGAGTCAAGTGTATGTCCCAAGGGCCCAGGGACCCAGCTGCTCCTTCTTCAAAGGCTAGCCCATGGGTCTCAGAGGCTTAATACTGGTGTGAGACAAAGGAAAAGATGAGCCAAAGTCCCTGATTTTGTGGCCACGTTGAGAGACGTCATGCTCTAAAACACAGGGCTGGAAACTAAGCAACAAACAGTGAAGTGAAGCAGTCACTTCCATATGCATGTACTTCACAAAGTGCATGGATGAATGGAATTTTAAACGGGTTTATTTTCTGCATCTGTATTTAGAGGCAGAGGGGCAGATAGAGAGCCCTACACAGAGATCCCATGTGCTGATTTGCTCTGCAAATGACCGTAGCATATGAAGCCAGCCTGCACCAACATTAGAAGCAAGGAAATTTGTTAAAAATATTTATTTAAAAGACAGAGTGACCTTGAGAGAGGGAGAGACACAGAGATACCTTCTATTATCTGGTTCTCTCCCCAAATGGCTACAATGCTCAGATTTGGCCCAGGCTGATGCCAGGAACCACGGACTCCATGCTAGTTTTCCACATGGGTGCAGGACCCAAGAATTGAGCAAACTTTTGCCTCCTCAGACACATTAGCTGGGAGTCGGATCAGAAGTGGATTATCTGGGTTTTGAACTGATACTGTAGTGTTAAATGCAAGTATCATAAGCAGTGAACTGGCTCCAGGGGAAAAAAAAAAAACCATTAATCCAGTTCTCCCACATGTGTGGTAGGAATCCAGGTACTGGAGACATCACTACTATTTCAGTTTGTTTTGGTGGATAAAAATTTTTGAAATTCATGCATAGGTTTTCATAATATATTCTTTCCAAGTATAGTGAAAAAATGTGAAAAAACACTTGGCACCAAAACATAATAATTATAGTTTGTTCCATTTTTCCTAAATGGTTTGAAGTTTTCTTATACGTATAGATAATTGCTCCAGCTTGAACTCAAGTGAGGGATTAAAAACAATGCCATTTTTATTTCTCTCACACACACATACACACACATATATAGAGGCAATTTCACAGTGTATATACTTCTTTTGGATGCAATAACATTGATTCCAAATTGTATATCACTTATATAACTATTATCTCCTATTAATACTTCAGGGGAGGCTTAGCTGGACACTCTCTGGTCACATTTAGATTATTTATGGGCCTGCAACCAACTAGCAGCTTGATTAATTAAGTATCCCTAAGAGTAGGGAAACCAGGTTGCATAAAACTGATCAAACTGTATGCTAATATGTATTTCAAATAAACATTTGCACATGTTGACGTATAGGCATAGGATCTAGAACGATGCCCTGGAAGTGCCCAGTGGATGTGTATTTAAATCTCATTTTGTAAACATGGTCATCTGTCAGGCTACACCTTCACTCTTTCACAGTATTTGCTATAACAGGGTAGTTTGAGAAAATGTGAAGATACTTCGAGAAGTCATGCATAACTGAGCAGTAGGAACTTTGACCTCAGCAGCGTTTTCTTTGAGAAGCAGCGTTCCTTTAGCTGGGGCTGTTGAGCAGTTAGAAATTATTTGGTTCACTTAACTGGATGTCACAAGGAAAAAGACCATAGAGGATCATTCTACACAACGGACAGCAATTGGACAGATGGAATAATGTCATCTAAGGAGTTTCCTGAAGTTACCAGCCGTCAAGAGTGAGGAAGCCAGAGTATGGCTGTGAATTGGGCTCAGGCATCATGGTGTGAGGACGGGCAGATTGCTGTGATGGGAGATCGTTGGCAGTGCTTGGACATTCCAAATGCCAGACAGAAACTCTCAGCATAGGAGGAGACAATGAAAGGAAATGATTATTGCTGGTGCTGTGGCTCACTTGGCTAATCCTCTGCCTGTGGCACTGGCACCTGGGGTTCTAGTCCCAGTTGGGGCACAGGGTACTAGTTCCAGTTACTCCTCTTCCAGTCCAGCTTTCTGCTGTGGCTCAGGAGGGCAGCGGAGGATGGCCCAGGTGCTTGAGCCCCTGTACCCGCATGGGAGACCAGGAGGAAGCAACCGGCTCTTGGCTTTGGATCGGCGCAGTGCCAGCTGTAGCGGCCATTAGGGGAGTGAACCAATGGAAAGGAAGACCTTTCTGTCTCTTTCTCACTGCCTATAACTCTGTCCTCTTCTCTTATTTCTCTCTCTCTCTCTCTATCTTTTCTCTCTTTTCTCTCTTACTCACTCACTCACTGTCTAACTCTGCCTGGCAAAAAAATAAAAAAAAATTAAAAAAAGAAAGGAAATGATTATCAACTTCCAGTCAATTGGAATACTAAATGGTTTTTAGCTTTTCTGACCATGAACACACTGTTTAGTCAGGAAAGTTGCACCCCTACAGGCGAAAAACCTCATGATACAATGCAACAAGCAGTAGCTAGCACCATCTGGGATGTAGTCTCACTGTAGAAGGAGAAGCTCAAACTTTAGATTTTACTACCAGTTTCTAGGAGATGAAGAAGCAGAAACCATTCACACACATGGATGCCGTGAGCCAGATTCAGAATGTAGACATTTCTACACAATGAATGATGCGGTTTCTCTCTAGCCACTTCAGCACAAATATTGTAATCTGGAAATGTTGTAAATGCAGTCCTGTGAATTCTTCTCTGCGCCTAAACCTCTCACTTCCTCCTCAGATCCTCATGTGCAGCCAGCTCAAAGAAGGCGTCCTCTTAGAAAGTGGCTGTTTCAGCGAGGCCCTTCCAGGTCCTGGGAAGATCCTCCTCAGGAACCTGCTCTGCCTGTCACACAGCCAGTGCAGCTCTTTGGATCTCTCATTCAAGATGTCTGTGAGAATGACAACCTGCCCAAACCTCTTGTAGTAGGTCTCATTTTGGTTTTCTATCGCCCACTTTTGGTGACAGAACTTATGGGGTCAAGTCTCCTCATCTAAATCTGTCCCCAAGTGGAGAAGTCCATAGATGATCCCTAGCTTTGGCAGAGAAACTTTGTTCATGCTATAGCAATGAATGCAAGCCTCATTTAGGTATATTAGATTGCTAAGACAAACACAGGAGGATAAAAGACACTCTCGTCTATGTCACTGCTTTAAGCAAAGACACCCACGCATCTGCCCAGAGAAGTTTGAATGGGTTTTGTGTGCCTGAATCTCTGTGAATCCACCTCCTGCTCACGTTTTCCTTGCGGCTCCTTCAGAACCTGAATCATCCACTCACCTCAAGTCTCTTAGCATTTCATCTTCATCTAGACTTCTCAGTGATACCACTCAACATATCTCACCTGTATTTTATTTGTCTCTCAGGACTTCAACATAAAAATTCATTCTCACATATTACTCCTTACATTCTTTTTTTTTTTTTTTTGACAGGCAGAGTGGACAGAGAGAGAGAGAGAAAGGTCTTCCTTTTGCCGTTGGTTCACCCTCCAATGGCCGTCGCACCGCGCTGATCCGATGGCAGGAGCCAGGTACTTCTCGTCTCCCATGGGGTGCAGGGCCCAAGCACTTGGGCCATCCTCCACTGCACTCCCTGGCCACAGCAGAGAGCTGGCCTGGAAGAGGGGCAACCGGGACAGAATCCAGCGCCCTGACCGGGACTAGAACCCGGTGTGCCGGCGCTGCAAGGCGGAGGATTAGCCTATTGAGCCGCGGCGCCGGCCACTCCTTACATTCTAACAGAACTCGTGAAATGAAAGCTATAGATTGGGGGGCCAGCATTGTGGCGTAGCGGGTAAAGCCGCCACCTGCCGTGCTGGCATCTCATATGGGTGCTGGTTCAAGTGCTGGCTGCTCCAGTTCTGTCTGGTTCCTGCTAATGTGCCTGGAAAAGCAGCAAGCTTGGGCTCCTGCACCCATGTGGGAGACCTGGAGGAAGCTCCTGGATCCTGATCAGCCCAGCCCCAGCAGTTGCAGCCATTTGGGGTGTAAACCAATGGATGGAAGTCCTCCTTTCCCGCTCTCTGTAACTTTGACTCTCAAAGTTTTTTTTTTTTTTTTTTAAAGAAGCTACAGATTGGGCCTTTATCACTGAAAATTGATGTGTTATATATTCAGGGGTATATTTATTAAGGGTTCAGTATGTCACCAAGCTAATTTCTTGATGTATTGAGTTTGAAGCTAGATGTGAACAAATTCATATTATTCAAATTCATAGATACTGCATCTTTCACAGTGAATGTAGGTGGAGTCTGTGAGTATCCTCATCCACCCCTCACTAAAGTAATAAAGAGAAACCTTACTACTTTATTCTGACTAAGGTCACTGAGGAGACAAGTGGCATACTTTATGGAAAATGTCCTAGGAACCTAACTCTCACACTTACTCTCTTTCTGGACTTGATATGGAGATAGAGCAGCAGGGAATGAAAGATTCTTGAGAATGGAATGCAATCGGGAGGTTTCAGAGAAAGGTTTCAGCTTCATTTTAAAAAGCTTTTATTAACATGAGGGCAGCAGATTTCATAGGTGCAATTCTTGGAAGATCACCATACTTTCCTCCTTTCCTCTATCCCTCCATTCCCCTTATACCCTTTTATGTTTTTCCTTTAATTTTTGCTAAAACATAACTTCAGTCCACTGTGTAATACAGGCTTAATGCACCACTAACCATAATATTCAGCAAGTAAAAAGTAAAAAGAACAGTATTCCATAGAAGTATAAACAGGGCTATAAATCAGAATCAAATCCCAAGATGTCTATTTCATTCCTAAACATTTTTGGAATTCTTTATTAACTATTACATATTAGAGAAACATAGGATATTTGTCTGAGACTGGCTTATTTAACTAAGCATGATGATCAAGTTATATCCACTGTGTTGCAAAAGACAAGAGTTCATTCTTTTTACAGCTGAGTAGTGTTCCATAGTGTATACTACCGCATTTCCCTTACCGAGTGATCAGTTGATGGACATCTGTGTTGATTCCCTATCTTAGCTATTGTGAATTGAGCTGCAGTATACATGGGGGTTCAAATAACCCTTTCATATGCTAATTTCATTTCATTTGGGTAAATTCCCAGGAGTGGGATGGCTGGATCATATGATAGATCCATTTTAATATTTATCAGGAATTCCTATACTGTCTTTGAGAATGGCTATAGTAGTTTGCATTCCCACCAACAAGGGATTCCAACAATGGATTAGGGTACCTTTTCTCCCACATCCTTGCCAACATTTATCATTTGTTCATTGTTGTATGATAGCCATTCTAACTGGGGTGAGATGAAACCTAATGTGCTTTCTATGCACTTCCCTGATGGCTAGTGAACCTGAAAATTTTTTCATGTGTCTGCTGGTCATTTAATTTTCATCTTTTGAAAAGTGACTATTGAAGTCCTTTGCTCATGTCTTAACTGGTTCTTTATTTTGTTGTTTTTGAGTTTTTAAGCTCTTTATAGATCGTGGAAATTAATCTTTATCAGTTGAATAGTTTATAAATATTTTTCTCCCATTCTGTCAGTTGCTTCTTTCCTTTGTGTTTGCTTTGCAGTGCTGAATCTTCTTGGGCTGATATAATCCCATTTGACTATTTTTGTCTTTATTGCCTGTGCTTCTGGGGTCTTTTCCAAGAAGTCTTTGCCTGCACCACTATCTTGGAGGGTTTCTTTGATGTTTTCCTCTGGTAATTTGATTGTATCAAATTCTTTAGATTTAGATCCTTGACCTCCCTGCAATTGATTTTTGTAAAAGGTGTGAAGTAGGGATCTTTCATACTTCTGCATGTGTAGATCTAATTTTCCCAGCACCATTTGTTGAAGAGACTGTTTTTTCCAAGGATCAATTTTAGCTTGTTTTTCAAAGATTTGTTGGTTTTAGGTGCATGGACTAATTTATGAGGTTTCTGTTGTTTCATTGGTCCATGTGTCTGTTTTTGTGCCAGTACCAGGCTGTTTTTTTTTTTTTTTTTTTATCTTTTATTTAATGAATATAAATTTCCAAAGTACGTCTCATGGGTTACAATGGCTTTCCCCCCCATACCGTCCCTCCCACCCACCACCCTCCCCTTTCCCACTCCCTCTCCCCTTCCATTCACATCAAGATTCATTTTCGATTATCTTAGTATACAGAAGATCAGCTTATTATACCTTAAGTAAGGATTTCAACAGTTTGTTCCCACACAGAAACATAAAGTGAAAAATAATAGATGATTTTTTTTAAATGATGATGAAATCAGATCAGACCTATTGTCATGTTTAATCCCAGTGAGAGTCAAGTTGGGAATTGATAGTTTCTTTTTTTTTTTTTTTTTTTAACAGAAGATCAGTTTAGTGTACATTAAGTAAAGATTTCAACAGTTTGCACCCCCATAGAAACACAAAGTGAAATATACTGTTTGAGTACTCGTTATAGCATTAAGCCTCAGTGTACAGCACATTAAGGACA